GACTACTACTGAGACATGGATCTTTTCCTGGGAGAGACCTCAATTTAAAGATAAGTGATTTTGTGGTCTTGCTTGCAACTGTATCACTGTGACTTATGTCATATGTAGCCTCAAAAGTTCATGTATCCTTTGTGACTGCGATAATAAGAAGCTGGCTAGTTCGACTTCTGGCTTAGTTAGATTTTCTCTTCAGCGCAAGGTATGGAGACATATTTCAATCCCTGAAAAGAAGTTTTTCTGTCTGGAGCAAAATGAAACATCATAACCTGCAGTCTATGGTGACAACAATAGCCAAGCACCCCTAAATCCTCATGCTGTTGGTCTGCAATCTGGAATGAATCTTCTGATCTCAGGTTGTCATGCTTTTCAAGTGGCAGCGCTGAGAGGATAAACTGCCAGACTTTTTGGTTTTCTAGTGGTTTCTTTTGTTGCAGCTGTGGCCAAACCTGCCTATTAATCTAAGCCACCAGGCTTCTCTTCTTATTCTGTATTTGCCCTCAACAGCTAGGCTGCGATATCTGCACATTTTAAATCTGATCTCAGCAATGTTCTAATTCATCACCTTTTGTTACTTGTTACGGGGCAGTGTGCTGACACCTCCACCCTCCTCTCTCACCCAAATGGAGCTCCAAAACACCCCACAGAGATGATTCTTTTTGCACTGTTTCTATATCAGCCCTTGGAAAACCACTATGAAATAATCTAGGACTGAAAAAGTTGGGAAAAAAAAACATGGAACAAACACATTCAACTCTGAATTCAAGACTGTTAATGTAGCTACTGGTGATATATTCAGGGCAAGTATATACAAAACAATGAACGTGAATTCTGTACAGCAAACCATGCCTTGTTAAACTGTTACAAGAGCATGTAAGTTCATCTTTCTATATTCTATATATCTGTATACACATGAACAAATGTGCACGGCCAGGTTAGGTTCCCTCCAGGACTGCTGTCCACAGGTTTAACACCTCAGGGATGAGAATCACACAGGAGCAAGTCCAAGAAAAACCTGTTTAACCGTTTAACACAGATACATAACAGCATCCTTAGGGTTGTGAACTAACCTGTGTGTGGTTCAATGTTGGGGGGATGATTAAAATGTGCAAGAATGTGGATGAAATTACTATCAAATACAATGGCGAAGATAAATATACAAACAAGTATAACAAGGTGCTCATAGTGAAGACAATCAAAGGTGTCCAGGTGTACCAAATGTTGGGTTAATTGTTGTCGGATCTCCAGTCGAGTGAATTTAGTTTGTGTCTAACATATATTAATTCTGTAGCAGTCATGTGTAGATAACTGTGTGTAGATTAATGTTTTTCCATGTGTGGGTTCTGAGGCCCATTGAGGGGTGCGTCTGACTGAGAGATGAGGAAAAGTCAATTTGAAAGGCAAACAAACCAGATCTGTAAAACAGATGTGCTCACAAAACTCAAGCTCTGGAGCAGGACCAAAGTTAAGACATGGACAAACAACCAGAACTATCTGCTAAAGTTTACAGCTGGTGAATGGTAAGAATAAAGAATTCTTTCCTTGTACTGATTACTTCAAGTACTAAATTCTCTCCCTTATAATTGTAAAAGGTACCAAGTTCTCTCCCTTTTAATGGTTACATCAAGTGTCGAGTTTTCTCCCTTTTAATGATTACACCAGGTACTGAGTTTTCTCCCTTATAATGACTACATCAGGTACTGAGTTCCCTCCTTTACAATGATTACATCAGGTACTGCTCATATGTTGGTTGATAAATGGAGATTACAAATATTACACAAACATATATTTGTAAAATGGTGATAAAAAATGTTGCATCACAAATGCATATACAAAAAAATCTATTCTGAAAAGGAAGTTTTCTTTTTCTATCCCAGATTCAACTTTATTGATGAACAATGTAGTCCAATATTTGAAACATACAATTTTTCTGATAAGGTGTCAATAATGCAACAATCTATGATATAAAGTGAAGCTAAAGTTCTACCCAACTGCCACCAAAGTTATATCTACTAAGTGGTTACTAATTATATCATACAACTTATACTATAGTTGCATTAACTAGTGACAATTTATAGTAACATGTCAACTAGTGACCATGTAAAACTTTATAAAGTACTATGTATAAATTACACATGGATATAAAGTTTAGATGTTTTCAAAAATAAACATGAGGTAAAAAAGAAAACAAAAACATTCACAAAACACAAAAAAATTGCATTCACCCATTGATTATTAAAGATTTGTTAGAACTTTCTCTCATACAAATTCAGTTTTTTTGCCCCTAATATAATCTGTCCGGCATTATTTCCAAGAAAATGTTCATGAGAAAGTATTTGTTTATGAAAGGTCTGTTTTGTCTCATTCAAGAACATACTGAGATACATTTGTGAATTTTATGTCACAATTTGTTAAGTTTTCAATTGTGATGTTTCAGTCACAGTTCCATTATCTTCAGCATCTGAATAGTTGTTCCTTCACAACACAACCTTTGGAGGCGACAGATTAAAATCCAGTGTGCCTTTAGATACATAGTTTCCCACCACTGTTGTATCTGGATGAGATCACGATTTTCTTTTCTTCCATTGTGCATTCTTCATTGGAAGAAAAAGGGCCAACTGACTCTTGCCGAGCTGTCTTTTTTTTAAAATGTCATTGTGGGAGCCCTAATACATCTGCTTCTGCTCAGAGCTCTCTGGCAACAAAGATCTGTCAGTTGGGCAGCCCTGAAGCATTCAAGAGTTTTACATGAGCTCCGATTTGTGTGGAGACAGATAATATCAATGGTCACAAACTCTGTGTGGGAGACAGAGAGTACTGATGGCCAAGTAGGCTGTGGGATACAGAGAGTACTGATGGCCAAGTAGGCTGTGGGAGACTGAGGGAGTACTGATGGCCAAGTAGGCTGTGGGAGACTGAGATAGAACTGATGGCCAAGTAGGCTGTGGGAGACTGAGATAGAACTGATGGCCAAGTAGGCTGTGGGAGACAGAGAGTACTGATGGCCAAGTAGGCTGTGGGAGACAGAGAGTACTGATGGCCAAGTAGGCTGTGGGAGACAGAAAGTACTGATGGCCAGGTAGGCTGTGGGAGACAGAGAGTACTGATGGCCAGGTAGGCTGTGGGAGACAGAGAGAGTACTGATGGCCAGGTAGGCTGTGGGAGACAGAGAGTACTGATGGCCAGGTAGGCTGTGGGAGACAGAGAGAGTACTGATGGCCAGGTAGGCTGTGGGAGACAGAGAGTACTGATGGCCAGGTAGGCTGTGGGAGACTGAGAGAGCACTGATGGCCAAGTAGGCTGTGGGAGACTGAGATAGTACTGATGGCCAAGTAGGCTGTGGTAGACTGAGATAGTACTGATGGCCAGGTAGGCTGTGGGAGACAGATAGTACTGATGGCCAGGTAGGCTGTGGGAGACTTGGAGACGGCCTAGAAGGTCCAGTAGGTTGTGTGGAGGACAGATGATACAAATGGTCACATTGTGTGGGATAAGTCTGTGTGGGAGACAGATACTACTGATGTCCAAGCAGTCTGTGTGGGAGACAAGATAGTACTGACAGCCAAGTAGTCTGTGTGGGAGACAAGATAGTACTGACAGCCAAGTAGTCTGTGTGGGAGACAAGATAGTACTGACAGCCAAGTAGTCTGTGTGGGAGACAAGATAGTACTGACAGCCAAGTAGTCTGTGTGGGAGACAAGATAGTACTGACAGCCAAGTAGTCTGTGTGGGGGACAAGATAGTACTGACAGCCAAGTAGTCTGTGTGGGAGACAAGATAGTACTGACAGCCAAGTAGTCTGTGTGGGAGACAAGATAGTACTGACAGCCAAGTAGTCTGTGTGGGAGACAAGATAGTACTGACAGCCAAGTAGTCTGTGTGGGAGACAAGATAGTACTGACAGCCAAGTAGTCTGTGTGGGAGACAAGATAGTACTGACAGCACAGTAGTCTGTGTGGGAGACAAGATAGTACTGATGGCCAAGTAGTCTGTGTGGGAGACAAGATAGTACTGACAGCCAAGTAGTCTGTGTGGGAGACAAGATAGTACTGACAGCACAGTAGTCTGTGTGGGAGACAAGATAGTACTGACAGCACAGTAGTCTGTGTGGGAGACAGACAGTACTGACATCCAAGTAGTCTGTGGAAGATGTGGCGATGGCCTAGAAGGGCCAGTAGACTGTGTTGGAGACAAGACAGTACAGATGACAAAACAATGTGTTGGAGACAGACTACGGCAGACCAAGTAGATTATGTGGGAGACTTGGAGACGTTAGGATGAACCAATATTCTGCATAATAAAGAAAGTAGTTAAGCTTGCATCGTCCTATGTGGAGTCGGAAAGTTTGCTATTTGTTCAGTGCAACAAAGTTGGTAATATGCACCATTCTTCTGGTAACTTTGACAGACCCATTACCAACTAACTCCATAAGCACTTCCAAAAAAGAAAGATGTCTGCTGCTTCGTGGGTACTCCCAAATAATCACCAACCAGCACAGACAAATGTTAATGTATGTTTGTTAAGTATTCAGAAATATACACCAGACATTCAAAGCAAAGTTTTTTTCTTACAGCAGATTTAAATAACGAAGAAACAAACAATATATTGCACAATTTACTTAAAGGATTAATTTTTTTGTGATTAGTTATGGCTTGATTCAAAATGCGCCAGGCAATACATTGTGCGGTATATTGTTTCTGTCCTCTTTATTTACATGCCAGATAATTAAAACATGGTTTTATAATTTCTAATAATTTTTTTTACAAGGGACAGAACAATCTCAATATTTATTTCTGAAGAGTTCTACTACTATGATTACTACTATTATTTAGAACTTATGGTACTACACTTTAGTTTTGCTCTTAAGTGCTCAGTCTCTCTGCAAATTTTGCAGGCTATGTACATGTAATGAGTAAAACAAGACAAGTTTTTAGTCTCTAGTCAACTTCATCTGAAGCCTGGAAAGTACATCTGTCATCAGCAGGACGGAACACTATTAAGACTCAGTTCATCCACTTGCGACAGTTGGGTGCCCCGCACATACATGGGATTTTATGCTGGTCGTCTTCAAAGTCAAACTTGTAGTCATATGTCAGCTGAAACAACATAAGGAAAAAATCTCAGTATAACTTCCAAAATTAATGTCAAAACTTGCACTGACATAGCCTTAAAACTTGAATAACAGAAACAGTCAAAGCAATGTTCTAGCATGTTCTCTGCTGTACTGTTAATGCCAAGATCTAGGTGCCTGTCAGGGTTATTGACGGTATGAGGCCTTTGTGCAGTGGTCACTATGCCTGTATAACAGCTCTGGGGCTGATTACAACTGCACATCATGTAGACAATGTGGCTATGGTTACATTTTCACCATTCAAGAAAAACACTATAGTATTTTGTGTCATCATCAGATCATTGTTGCATCATAACAAATGTATTAGGACATTGTGGCTTCACTAATGCAGCCATATATTTTATGGTCAAAGGGAGAGAAAGCAGTTAATTCACTGCTCTGTTTACGTTTAATGATAAAAACCCTTACAAGAAAGGCGATTTTTGGGGTTCCTAAATTACAAAAAGTATTTTATTTTCATTATTTAAATGACTTAAGGGCGCTGTGGCATAATAGCTAGCGGGCTTGTCTGTCTACCAGGTGGCCATATGTTTTTAAAATTGTATCAAGATTTAAAATTTCTTTCGCATTTTCTTTGCTTCCCCTAGTATTTAATAGCTGAGTTTCTGAGAATAGTAAGGATGCATTTTTATTCACACACAAAAAAAAAAAAAAAAACATTGGAAAAAGGTTATTTTCTTATTAAATAAAAAAACAACAACAATGGTTTGATACAGCTATCAATGTTATATTAAAACAACGATATAAAAGACATAAATTAACAACTATACAAAAGACAAATTCAATAATAACAAATCTACTACTTTAAAGTAGAGATATGCAGTAGCGAAGTACCGTAGAACGTTTGAAATTCAAACTGCCTCTAGGTGGATTTTTTGGTCAAATTCGACATGGGTTCCGAGGCTGACCTAGTATAAAATGAGTACTAGGAATTGTCCTGGAAAGAAACTCAACCTGCACGATGTTGTTGTTGACCACATCATCCACAAAAAAATCTCTGGTCGGATGCGACTTTGGCACAGAATGCATCTTGCTCCACAAGATATACCTCCTCTTATTAAAAAAAAAAAAAAACTTAAAAAAACAAACAAACACAACTGTAAAAAAGGACCTAGGAGAGGAATACAAATAACAGATTGAGTGCTGAGCTAGGAAGTGACATTACGGCAATCAGGACATTTCCAAAAGCGCTCCGTCTTCATCTTCAGCAGAGAAGAGTTCCAATTCTGAAAGTGTCAGTAGCAGACTGATTAAATGTCCATCTTGTCTTTACTCAGTGTATAGTGTCGAGCAGATCCCCTCATTACTCCTAGCTGTTTTTTTCTCTCCAGACCATAATGATCTATCTATTCATGTTTCAGATTTGTTCCCTTGCTCCCAAAGGGCCTTGACCACATCTAGCATGTCATGCATAAATTCACCACCCATAGGTGCAGAACAAGACGTTTAAGTATCGTTAGCCCGGTTTGATGATGTCAGCAGCATGTCCCGTCAGATAGAGACGGCCTAGTGCAGAACTAGCCAATCTGCCTGCCTGTTCATTTTTCAACACTCCTGCATACCCCGGAGAAAACATCCAAAGAAAGCTAACTGCCACTAAACAACAGAAACAGCAGGAGACATACCTCCTCTCCTTTGACACTACCACTAAACAACAGAGACAGCAGGAGACATACCTCCTCTCCTTTGACACCACCACTAAACAACAGAGACAGCAGGAGATATATCCCCTCTCCTTTGACACTGCCACTAAACAACAGAGACAGCACCACTAAACAACAGAGACAGCAGGTGACATACCTCCTCTCCTTTGACACCACCACTAAATAACAGAGACAGCAGGTGACATACCTCCTCTCCTTTGACACTACCACTAAATAACAGAGACAGTAGGAGACATACCCCTGAAGAAAACATCCAAAGAAAGCTAACTGCCACTAAACAACAGAGACAGCAGGTGACATACCTCCTCTCCTTTGACACTACCACTAAACAACAGAGACAGTAGGAGACATACCCCTGAAGAAAACATCCAAAGAAAGCTAACTGCCACTAAACAACAGAGACAGCAGGTGACATACCTCCTCTCCTTTGACACTACCACTAAACAACAGAGACAGCAGGTGACATACCTCCTCTCCTTTGACACTACCACTAAATAACAGAGACAGTAGGTGACATACCCCTGAAGAAAACATCCAAAAAAAGCTAACTACCACTAAACAACAGAGACAGTAGGTGACATACCTCCTCTCCTTTGACACTACCACTAAACAACAGAGACAGCAGGAAACTTACCTCATCTCCTTTGACACCACCACTAAACAACAGAGACAGTAGGTGACACACCTCCTCTCCTTTGACACTACCACTAAACAACAGAGACAGCAGGAGACATACCTCCTCTCCTTTGACACTACCACTAAACAACAGAGACAGCACCACTGAACAACAGAGACAGCAGGTGACATACCTCCTCTCCTTTGACACTACCACTAAATAACAGAGACAGCAGGTGACATACCTCCTCTCCTTTGACACTACCACTAAACAACAGAGACAGCAGGTGACATACCTCCTCTCCTTTGACACTACCACTAAACAACAGAGACAGCAGGTGACATACCTCCTCTCCTTTGACACTACCACTAAATAACAGAGACAGCAGGTGACATACCTCCTCTCCTTTGACACTACCACTAAACAACAGAGACAGCAGGTGACATACCTCCTCTCCTTTGACACTACCACTAAACAACAGAGACAGCAGGAGACATACCTCCTCTCCTTTGACACTACCACTAAACAACAGAGACAGTAGGAGACATACTCCTGAAGAAAACATCCAAAGAAAGCTAACTACCACTAAACAACAGAGACAGCAGGTGACATACCTCCTCTCCTTTGACACTACCACTAAACAACAGAGACAGCAGGTAACACACCTCCTCTCCTCTGACACTACCACTAAACAACAGAGACTACAGGAGACATACCTCCTCTCCTTTGACACTACCACTAAACAACAGAGACAGCAGGTGACACACCTCCTCTCCTTTGACACTACCACTAAACAACAGAGACAGCAGGTAACACACCTCCTCTCCTCTGACACTACCACTAAACAACAGAGACTGCAGGAGACATACCTCCTCTCCTTTGACACTACCACTAAACAACAGAGACAGCAGGTGACACACCTCCTCTCCTTTGACACTACCACTAAACAACAGAGACAGCAGGAGACATACCCCCTCCCCTTTGACACTACCACTAAACAACAGAGACAACAGGAGACATACCCCTGAAGAAAACATCAAAAGAAAGCTAACTACCACTAAACAACAGAGACAGCAGGAGACATACCTCCTCTCCTTTGATGCTACCACTAAACAACAGAGACAGTAGGAGACATACCCCTGAAGAAAACATCCAAAGAAAGCTAACTACCACTAAACAACAGAGACAGCAGGAGACATACCTCCTCTCCTTTGACAATCTTGCGGCTGGTGATGATGATGATCTTGCTTTCCTTCTCTATGTCCACCACCTCGGCCACACAGTTAGGGTTGCAGGAATGGTTGATGTAACGAGCAGGCCCACCTGCCTTGGTGGCATCGATGACCACTTCATTGTCAATTCGGAACATGTAGACACCTCGGTTCTGTGGAGCCAGAGACAGTTGACAGGTGAACAATGACAGCAAAAATAAAGTAAAGATAGTAACTCTCTTGAGTCCCAGACAGGCATTATACTTCAACTCATAAGTTGTGTCTTTAACTAACAGATTTCTGGCTCAGAAGGAAGTAAAATTATGAAACTATGAGTCTTAAATTAACAACCGATGGAGATTGGGTTAATATAATAACTGGACGAGAGACACGTTGGTAAGAAAAGTACATCATATAAATAAATGGATACCAACAAATGCATGATGTGTTACTTGGTGCCAAAACAGTTAACAAATAAATAAACTACCTTGCCACCACTAACAACCCCCCCCCCCCCCCCCCCCCCCCTTTCTTTTCTGAATTTTAAGGTTTTGCTTATTTTTTCTGAAGGGTTTCTATAGTGAATGGGGAAAAAACGTTTATAAAAGACTTAATTTCCACATCCTATGATAATATGGGGATAAACAATAAATTAAAACAAACAGTTACCTATATCACTCACCTGTGATTCATACTCCTGCTCTCTTCTGTTTGCCACCTCATTACGGATGAGATCCCCGATGTACTCAATCACCATGGTGTGTTTCTCCAGATCCCGGGCAGCATAAAGACCAAGACCCTACACACAGAAAGAAATCAGTCAGTTAATTCAGCCTCACCTTGTACTTCATCAACAATCGTGTCCTTCCATGACCTCTGTCTTTTAATTCCGCATTCCAGTTCATTTATACCAATATGATTCCATATCTAGATCGAGGTTAGTTGCATATCCTTTACAGGACGTTGCAGAACCAACCCTAACAGCCCCTGGCTGTTGTGTCCATATCTAAATACTAATGTTTATTTTGAGAAGCAGCTGGCCCAGTGGTTAAGACACTTGGTTCTCATTTGATAGACCCTAGTTCAAATCCTCAGTAAGGGTATGGTGTTTTTTTCCTTGTCGGGGGAGGGGGGGGGGGTAGCTAATACGAAATCGTAACCTGCACTTTCCGTGGCGATTCCACTAGTCATGCAGCTCTAAATCCCCAAGCTCAAAGACCCTCATGCCTTCGCAGGAAAAGTAGTAAATATATATATAGTTAGAAATGACAGTTTCTCTTTCAACAGTTTATTTAGCCCAGTCATTACTGCAACAAAATTACAGCAACTATAATAAGTAGCTACTAATGAAACCACAACCAAATGAAAAAACTCAAAGAAAGTAGAAAGATAGAAGGACACACTAGATGGCATAAAAATTGAAAGCTATAATTACCATGCACTATTAATTTGTTTAAATTAGTTTTCCTAAATATACATGGTACTGGAATATTAACTGTGATAAATTATTATTATTAAAATTATTATTTCATTACTATGTTTTAGGAAAATTAATACAAAAATAAACATTGATTGGTAATTATAGCTTTAAATTTTTATGTTGTCTGGTGTGTCTTTCTATCTTTCTACTTTCTTTGAGTGGCGATCAATACATTGTCTGTTTGTTTATTGTTTATAAATTATCTCTACGGCCTCAAGTGTTTCCCCTCTGTTTATTTATACAAACATTATAAAATGATTATTAACATCATACAACCACAAATGAACTCAGTTTAAAAAATGAAAAGTATAGTAAGTAAAGTAAAGGACCCTTTTCCACGCCTTTAGGCGTATAGGGCATATAGGGCTAGACCTATATTTTTATAGATCAATCGGCACCAGATGGGTGATGTGGTCAGCATCAAGCCGTCTGCCTTTACTTTCCAGGACTGCACCTGGTACCCACTCAGGGCTGGGTCGACATGGGAGCCAATGAAAAGATAAAGAACAGAAAATGAACAGTTACAGTATTTTCAATGATTGTTTGAAAGGAGCTAATGCAAGTAGATCTTTGTATGCAACAATAGGAAGTTGACAAAAACTGTTCTTTGGCTACAAAATGAGAAGAAAGGCACTGGAAAACATTGTGACAACTGGAAAGATCAGTGGAACAAGGGGTAGAGGCAGACCAAGAGAGATGATGCTGGATGGGCTGAAACGATATGGCATGGAGGGATATCATCAAGAGAGCTGTTCCAGGCAACCAGGAATCGTGATCTGTGGAGATCAATGAGTGTCTACGCCAGTTGGCAGGGCACATGATGATGATGACAGTATTTAAAAAAAAACAAAAAAAAAACTTATATAGCAAATCACTAACCCGTGAACTGTATGACATCATATTTGCATTTGGAGTTAAGACTGACCTAAGAAACTTCTGACTAGACTTGTACAGAAACTAGACTTGCTTTAGGAAACTAATATTATGACAGCTGCATCCCCCATGTGGGTTCTAGGGCCCTATTATAGGGAAAACAAGAATAGACCTACTGCCTACCCAAAAGCATGTCGTAAGAGTCGACTAATTGGGAGCTTCCTTCGAAGTTGGAGTGCATCTGCCTGAAAGGCGAGGAACCAACAGTCTGCACACAAATATGTATAAGATCTGTCAAATGGATGCACACACATCTCTCAGGTTCTGGAACAGGACTGCAGTCCAGAAGTGGACAAAAAACCAGAACTTTCCACCAGAGTTTACAGCTGGTGAACACAAAGAAGAAGAAGAAGAAGATAGCTGCAATAAAAGACTACAAAATGTGCAATTAGATTAGAGAGTTGTAATGAAGAAACCTAGAGACTTACACAGGCTGATAAACTAGATTAGAGAGTTGTAATGAAGAAACCTAGAGACTAGCACAGGCTGATAAACTAGATTAGAGAGTTGTAATGAAGAAACCTAGAGACTAGCACAGGCTGATAAACTAGATTAGAGAGTTGTAATGAAGAAACCTAGAGACTAGCACAGGCTGATAAACTAGATTAGAGAGTTGTAATGAAGAAACCTAGAGACTAGCACAGGCTGATAAACTAGATTAGAGAGTTGTAATGAAGAAACCTAGAGACTAGCACAAGCTGATAAACTAGATTAGAGAGTTGTAATGAAGAAACCTAGAGACTAGCACAGGCTGATAAACTAGATTAGAGAGTTGTAATGAAGAAACCTAGAGACTAGCACAGGCTGATAAACTAGATTAGAGAGTTGTAATGAAGAAACCTAGAGACTAGCACAAGCTGATAAACTAGATTAAAGAGTTGTAATGAAGAAACCTAGAGACTAGCACAAGCTGATAAACTTTGGCCATGTTTAATGTCATGACAGCCTTGAGAGAATAATGATGGAGGGTGCAATTTATGGAAAATGAGGCCAACCTCTGTGAATGTGGATACAAGACAATGAAGATGCACTGGCTATGAAAGCACAGAGGGCTGGAGAACTTGCTAGAGAGAGGGAGACCCTCAGGTGCGCTCTGAAGAGAGCAACATTCTGTAAAGGAACTGCTGACATGATGATGATGATGATGATGAAGAGAGTCTAGACTAGTGATTGTACTCAGAAACTGAAAATCAGACGTCCGTCTTGCACTAAATGGTAGCAGTTTTGGTATGTTTTAAACTGAATACCATCCAAATACAAAACAGGGAAACATATAACAAAAACTATGAAGACAAAACATGATTTCACTTGCCTGAATGCGAGATCTGCCAAGATAGACCAGTGTTTTCCAGTCGGTCTTTAATCTCCTGTACTGCTGTGACTTGGAGTGAACAAACTGCTTCAAGTAGGGAGAGTTGACATCTCCTGTCACCCCAGTCACGGTAGATGGCAGGGAGCGGGAGTTTGTGGATTGTAGTGTGTGTGGCCTGTAGGAAATAAGGGACAAGATCAAAATTAAGAAGCTCACAAATATAAAAGACAAATATGTTAAGACTAAAATCTTCTTGCATGGTAACTTTTCATGAATACACCATCAGACATATCCTTATGATGTATCAATCATTTTCTTGTTCTTCTTCAGGCACCCACTGGCAATCAAGATTCTTCAATACTTTCCTTTCATATTCTTATCTCTGTTACATATATAACATCACCCATTCCATACCCAATGCATTCATTTATTCACATATAACACATCTCTCCTCTCACATTCTTACACACTACATCAAACAACCAACCAGCGCACCCGACAATTCTGTTAGTTTACTCACCGCCTGAAGTGTGTCCTAAGCTTTGGTTCCGTGCGAGCACATCCTGTAGGATTGATGGCTGGAGGCATCTCAATTAGTGGAGATCGGCCAAACTTGAAGATATAATTTGTGAGAAGATCTGTGCCAGGTAACTGTGGAAAACAGTAACATGACACATAAACTAGCTTGTAACATAAGCTCCAGACCATCCTCTGACAAGAGACCTAGCTATACCATTAGTTCCAGACTATCAACAACAAGTGAACTAGCTGTAACATGAGTACCAAACTATCAAGTGAACAAATGAAAACAGAGCTGGGTTAAACTAAACAAAAAAATATTTGCAATTTCAGCTAATAAACATTTGATGGCAGAAACCAGTAAAGAGTGATGATCCAGATGAATGCATGTTTTTTTTTAATCAAGAGCCCTCTAGAGCAAAATTTTCAGCCAAAATCAATGTTCAAAATATATTGTCTAGAGTTTGTGAATGACAAGGGAACACTGTATTTAAATGAGTTTATATAACTGGCTGTAAAGAACAGAACCGCTTACCGACTCCAAAACCTTGACCACATTTGGCTCAGTCAGACCAAATAGTTCTTCAGCAGCCATGAAACTTGGGAACATCTTCACCAGATCTGCCTCTCGGCGCATCCGTTCTAATGGCTTGAGTATGTGCATCCACACAGCTGAACAAACAGATGACGGAAATATCAGAAAATGAATATACAGGGCATACAACAAATCAGTATAAATCTGGATAGTGGATGTATAAATTCACAACAATATGAATATTTTTTCTATCTTTGTTTTTTAACAAATATTTAATCTGAGATGAAAAAAATATAATCCCTGTCTGTTTTCTCCTCTCATTTGGGATGAAGATTTGCAGTGGTTCCACTCTGATATGTATATATAGATATAAGATTCATTTATCTTTTCTCCCTACTTGGTGATATAATAGTTCATTTTGTCTAGTCCCTCTTCTTCCTTGGGAGATAGACAAATCATAGAATCCTGTTGAATTTGTTTTCTTCTATCTGGGTAGGAGACACCATGGACCTTCCCTCGTACACCCAGCGGTATCTGACTCCACACATATAAACAAACTTAAACAATTTACAAGATGATTGTGTAACAACAATTTTGTAACAAAAGATGATTTTGTAACAAAAACTATGCAATAAACATGATTAGTTAACGAGGACACCACCCTAGTTTACCTGCAGGGCTATTATCTTTGAATGTGAGCTCATCGTGCTCGGAGTCTATGACTTGCACCCTGAACTCTGGCTCTCCATCATTGTCATGAATACTGCACATATATCGACAGCGCTTGTATAAAGAGTAGTAGCTCCAGTAAAAGCGGCTAGTGCGAAATCCCACCTGAAAATGACACGATCAGAATTTCTATGAATACAAGGACAATCAATCCCACATAAGAACTTTCTAAATGATTGATTGATTTGATTCAAGAACTGACATCACAGCACTCAGTGCATTCCCATAAGAGCTCCATCCCCCTCTTCAGCAGCCAGCGAAGAGTTCCGATACTAATGGTGCCAGTAGCATTCTGATTAAACGTCCATCTTGCCTTTTCTCTGAGCTTCGAGCATCTGCCAGAACCTCTTGTCACTCCCTGCTGCATCAATCTCACCAGACTGTGGTGATCGATCTGCTCCTCCGAACTGTACACGTTCTCTCACAAGGCACTAACCACGTCTGCCTTATCATGTATCAGTATTCCACCAAGTTGAGCAGAGCTAGCCAGTCTGTCCGCCTGTTCATTTCCCAACACACCGGCGGTCCCCGGTGAAAAAAATTCCAGACACTCCTCACCCGTGTCCTCTGCAGAGAAGCATGCCACTCAGCACGAAGCATACCTGTTCTGATCTTCCTCAGCATGCTTTCTGAATCAGTTACAATCACGATGTGTGTGTGTGTTTTCTAAATAAAGTTGCTTTCCTTCAAAATTGGAGTATATTTGCCTGAGAGGCCAGGAACCAACAGTATGCATACAAACAAGCTAGATATGTAAAACAGATGTGCACTCAAAACTGAAGTTCTGGAAAAGACTAAAGTCTAGAAGTGGACGAACAATCAGAAATTTCCACATGAGTTTTCAGCAGATGAACATGAAGAAGAGGAAATGTCTGCAGGCTTCTATCTCCTTTGTTTTAGTCTCTCTCTGCCTCTCTTCCCCTTTAAATAAATTATTCAATTAAATAATTGTGGTACCCTCTTTTTCTGATGTAAGTAACCAGGTTTTTTTGTAAGTTCCTTTTTTTCAAGACATCATTCTACTTTTTAATCTGCCCATATGCATCAGAACAGGCTCATAAACTCTTAAGACCTCCATTATGGTTGACAAAAAAAGACAGCAAAGAACATTACAAAATGCTACTCTGTTATCATCATCAGTCATCAGTTCTCGTTATGCCTAGTGGCACATTAGGCTTCTGAGAGAACTTTCCATTCTTTCCTGTCCTGTGCAATCTTCAGTGCAGTTTTCCATGTCAAAGATGCCGCACTCAGGTCACTTTCCATCGTTCGTCTCCATGTTGTTTTTGGGCGCCCCTGTTTTCTCTTTTCCTCTGGTGTCCATGTGAGAGCTGTTTTGGCAGGTATATCAGAAGTCATTCTCATAACGTGGCCAAGCCATTTCTATCTTCTTCTGGTAATCATACTGTCTAAAGTTTCTTGGTTTGTGGCTTGAAGTAGTTTAGTGTTTGAGATTGTATCTGGCCAGAACATTTTGATAATTCTACGTAGACATGTGTGGTGGAAGGTGGACAGCTTGTGTGCATCCTTTTTGGTCATTCTCCAGCATTCCGCTCCATAAAGAAGAACTGGCAAAATGATGCTCTCGTAGAGTTGGAGTTTTGTTCCTCTGCAGTAATTGTTGGATTTCCATGATTTGCCTCATCTTTCCAAAAGCAGCTCTAGCTTTGTTCAGGCGTGACTGTATGTCTTCCTCTGTCCCTCCCAGTAGGGACACCACACTGCCAAGATATGTGAAATGTTCTACATTTTCAAGTGATTGGTTACTTATGGTCACTGGTTGTTGGTTTAGACTGTTTGTCATGATCTTAGTTTTCTTTGTATTTATTCTCAGTCCCACCATTTCTGTTGTGCAGTTTAGTCTGTTACTTTTTTCTTGTATATGTTCATGTTCATGTGAAAGGATTGCTATATCATCTGCAAAATCAAGGTCCTCAAGCTAAGTGAATGGAGTCCATCGTATGCCTCTTAATGTCCTGTCTACTGTGTTCTTTAGTATCTAATCAATCACACGGTTGAAGAGGAGAGATGACATAACACATCCCTGTCTTACACCTGTCTTTACTGGGAAAGATGTATTGTAATTTTTTATACTGCAGGAAGTCTTTATAGAAGAGAGCAATTATGTTGACTATTTTTTCTGGAATTCCATAATGTCGTAAAATTTTCCACAGACCGTCTCTATGGACGCTGTCAAAAGCTTTCTCAAAGTCCACAAAATTAATATATATACTTCTCTGTTAACAGCATACAAATGGTTTACATTTGTTTTGTGAGACAAAAAGTGGTTTGTTCAGTTTACTGTAAACTGATGAGAATGAGAAAGAAAAAAGATAAAAGTTGCGTTAATTGTAAGTGGATGAGAATAACAGAAAAAAAAGGACATCAATTCTGTTGACAGTCAAGTGAAGAGAATGAACAAAAGTTGAACATTCGGTTGAATGTAAGCTGATAAAAATAGAAAGTAAAAAGACAAAAGTTGATGAGAATGAGAAAGAAAAAAATTTGTGAACTTTCAATTCACTGTAAGCTGGTGAAAATGAGAAAGGACAAAGATAAAAATGCAAGTGTAGGAGACTAAAAAACTAACCGGATATATGTGGTCCTTGCTGTTGAACTTGCCACAGAGTATCTGGTGAGGCAGCAGCTGGCCGATGCTGTGTAGGATCAATGAGCCGATTCTTAGGCTGCAGTGTCCCTCTTCTTGGTGGATCATGCTACACAAACGTAATATCAGCAACACATTATAAATAGCAAAACATTAAAGAGCACAAATAAATACAGGGATATGTTTACAAGTTTCAAATACAAATTCATAGTTTTGTTTCATAAAAATTTGAGGTCATATCTTGAACACCAAGAGTGTGAATTAGGGAGAATATTAAAAACATTAACCAGCAGAGAACATCAATATTATAAAATTATAATTATATAGGCAATAAAATCTCAAAAAAAGATTGAAGATAATATACAATGATATAAGGTCAACATTATAATGAAAGATAAGGACATAATCAATTTCATAAGAATTCTTTTAAATTAAATAACACACATACACACACACGTATGTGTGTATGTGTGTTATTTAATTTAAAAGAATTCTTATGAAATTGATTATGTCCTTATCTTTCACGTATGTGTGTGCGCGCACATGTATATGTGTGTGTGTGTCGTGGGTACAATTCCTGACAGGGCCAACTTTTTTTTTTTTCTTTTCAATAATGACTTGGCTCCCAGGTTGACCTAGCTTTGAGTGGGTACCAGGTACAGTCCTGGGAAGTAAAGGCTGCCGGCTTGATGCTAACCGCATCACCCACCAAGTGCTGTGAGTCTATAAAATATAGGTCTAGCCCTGTATACCCAATGCGCCTGAAATGTGTGGAAAAGGGTCCTTTATATTATTATATTATATATATATATATATTTAAGATTACAACAACCAATAATAAATCCAATTGTCTGTATGTTAGTTATCTGGAAATTCCCAGCCTAAAACATGTCAATGAATAATTAATTGTTCACCTGTTTATTTAATATATTTACTACCATACAGTTCCTATGGTTTATTTCTGTTGTCAAATGCTACAATCTGTTCCTATGTGTGCAATTTTCAAGTACTCTTATTTCAGACCCCATTTTAAGAATGAGGTAGCTAGCTCAATTCCCCCTCTATATTCTTTCCTTCATGAACAGACAAGACAACCATTTAAATTAAGTGTGCTAACATCTAACCGGTTACCAAAAATTCACTTTTCTCACCTTGCCACCTGCCGATCCTCATCTCTGTTGACGTAAACCCGGCGCAGTACCACTAGACTCGACAACTCTGTTCCAATGGGTACTTTAGGATAGTGACTTGGACACAGAAGTGTCTGCAGAAAGAACATTTCATGTGTACTACAGCCTTCAGTATTAAACTATTATAATTATACTACAGTAGCTAACTGACTTGCTTTAGCAATGCAGAGAATAAACAGCATGAAGAACTTGTGGCACAGCCCCGTGAGTTAAAGTAACAGTTCTGAGATGATGTATTGTCCTCACAGCAATTTATGAATGTGACTTGACAGCCTTTTGTCATGTCATGGAGAGATATCAAATCGTGAACTGATTTGATACACACAGTAGCAGATCGCAGATTGCAGAGAGGCATGATCCGCAAGGCAGGTGATGACGATGAAGCACCATGGTGGCTTGGAGAGAACAATGATGGAGTGGGCAGTTTCCAGAAAACAAGACAGAGGTCGACCTCCATGAAGGTGAATAAAGGACACTGAAGATGTGGCAGCGAGGAAAGCACATGGGGTTAAACAATTGGCCAGAGAAAGAGAGATTTGCAGGTGTGCTGTGAAAAAAGCAACATTTTGCAAAGGCCCTGCTGACATGCTGTAAGTAGCTAATTAATACTTATTATATATGTTTAAAAGTATCAAATACAAATTAATAGTTTTGTTTCATATAAAGTAGAGGTCACATCTTAAAGCCAAGAATGTGAAAAAAAAACAAAAAACAAAAAACCAGCAAAGATCATCAACATTATAAAACCAAAGCAAATGAAAATCAGAGTAAGCAAGAACTCAGGATGTACAGATTGTGTGAGCTCAGAACCAGAGCATCATTTGTTAGCTCTCCATATGTTGAGTACTGTCCCTGCTTTTCATGGAGCCTTTTTTTGTTCTGTCTGGGGTAAGGGGGAGTGTTCTCTAATAAAGGAACAATTTCTCTGCACAAGCATATCTCCTAAGTGATCTAGTCTCCTACTATAGATAATTTAAGGCCACGAAAGCTAATCTGGGCAATAAATATCACAGCCTTGGTGTAAAAGAGCACAAAGCATTTACATCTTAAGATGAAGGCTGAAGAAGATCACATAAGAAGATAAGCACAGAGTACAAACTTCGTAGACAAGATAAGACAACAGTGACATTTAGTTTTGGAGACAAGATAATTTTGCAGCTCCATATGGCATAAAATAATGATGAAAATTGTGTTTTAAAGAAAAAGAATTAATTACAAACTTAACAGCAATTGCTGCCTTTTGCGGTGTAGGCAGGAAGGCCTTTGAGCCTGTGTATTTAAGGCCGCATGGCTTGTGCTGTCACTATGACTGTGCAGGTAAGGATTTTATTTTGCCCCCCGACAGAAAAAACCTCCAGCCTTACCAAGGATTCGAACCCGGGTCTTCTGTTTGAGAGCCCAGCCTTCAAACCATTCAGCCGGCCGCTCCTCACAAACTATATTAACCAAAATAAAACAAGGCAAGCAAGCTATATTCATTTGATAAAATCAGCTCGTAAATACAGCAGTATCAGGTGCATGTGAAGAGGGTAAACAAAATATGCAATACCTTATCTTGATAGAACATACAGCCCTTCAACCTTGCACAGGGTAGATGGTACGCATTAGCACAGCGTGGTTTGAAACAAGCCAGTGTGGCTCCCATCTTGCGACAAGCGACACACTCGCTGGATAAACTACGCTGGAAAGCCAACTCCACATTCATCAGAGCACCGTTGAGGGTCTCGTAGACATCGTAGGACCACAGGGCACAGTTGAGATGCACCCATTTGTTCACATCCATGTTCAGCAGCCTGTAACCAATCAGATTTGTGTTAACATATGTCTGTGTGGCTTCAATCTAGTAACAGAAACATCATTGGTTATGCTTGACAGGCATTGTGGACATGCTTCATAGCATTCCGTACAAACATCTAGATGCCCTGTCTTCTTTGGCAAACGTAAAGAGCTGATGTTTTAACCCCTAATAATTTTATCCTTGATGAAATCATGCATAATTACAATCTCCAGAATTCTTAAATATATTCTGTTTCTAGTTTAAAAAATAAAACTGACACCTCTCTGCAACACTTTCGGCATAAGCAGTATGACCAAAAAAATAAAATAAAAAGAAAACTAATCTTTAAAATAAAATAAAAAAATAAAAAAAAGGTACTTAGGCTGTAACACTTAAAGAAAAAACCCTAACCTTCTAGGTAAAAAGTTGCAACACTTCAGGGAATAAGGTAAACACCACACTGTAGTATCTGGAGTAAATCTATGTGTGAAACAGCATAGCACTTTGTAATACAAGATAATTAATTAATTATTATATCTGGAGCCAGCAATAATCCTATGTCACCTAACTGTTATTGAGGCTAATTAGGGAAATGAGAAATAGTAACATTAACCTACTTGTCAGAGGTAACTAAGAGGATTAGGGTGTGGGTTTGTGAGACTGAGTGCCTCATTTTTTTTAGAAAAGTGTGGCTTTTCACCTCCGGATCCTGACAGTGTCACCCAAAAATCCACAGCTCTAGAGCTTCAGGAAACTACACAACACCTATACATGAATGTTAAACAGTCCAAATTCAAACCCACAATCTAATAAGCATTAGGCAAATTGTCAAACCATAGCACCACAGAGGCACCCCAGAAACACAGCACCACAGAGGCACCCCAGAAACACAGAGGCACCCCAGAAACACAGAGGCACCCCAGAAACACAGAGGCACCCCAGAAACACAGAGGCACCCCAGAAACACAGAGGCACCCCAGAAACACAGAGGCACCCCAGAAACACAGAGGCACCCCAGAAACACAGCACCACAGAGGCCCCCAGAAACACAGCACCACAGAGGCCCCCAGAAACACAGCACCACAGAGGGCCCCAGAAACACAGCACCACAGAAACACCCCAGAAACACAGAGGCCTCCTGAAACACAACACCACAGAGGCACCCCAGAAACAGAGAGGCACCCCAGAAACAGAGAGGCACCCCAGAAACAGAGAGGCACCCCAGAAACACAGCACCACAGAGGCACCCCAGAAACAGAGAGGCACCCCAGAAACACAGAGGCACCCCAGAAACACAGCACCACAGAGGCACCCCAGAAACACAGAGGCACCCCAGAAACACAGCACCACAGAGGCACCCCAGAAACACAGAGGCACCCCAGAAACACAGCACCACAGAGGCACCCCAGAAACAGAGAGGCACCCCAGAAACAGAGAGGCACCCCAGAAACAGAGAGGCACCCCAGAAACACAGAGGCACCCCAGAAACAGAGAGGCACCCCAGAAACACACCACCACAGAGGCACCCCAGAAACAGAGAGGCACCCCAGAAACACAGCACCACAGAGGCACCCCAGAAACAGAGAGGCACCCCAGAAACACAGCACCACAGAGGCACCCCAGAAACAGAGAGGCACCCCAGAAACACAGCACCACAGAGGCACCCCAGAAACAGAGAGGCACCCCAGAAGCACAGCACCACAGAGGCACCCCAGAAACAGAGAGGCACCCCAGAAACACAGCACCACAGAGGCACCCCAGAAACACAGCACCACAGAGGCACCCCAGAAACACAGAGGCACCCCCAGAAACAGAGAGGCACCCCAGAAACAGAGAGGCACCCCAGAAACAGAGAGGCACCCCAGAAACACAGCACCACAGAGGCACCCCAGAAACACAGCACCACAGAGGCCCCCAGAAACACAGCACCACAGAGGCACCCCAGAAACACAGAGGCCCCCCAGAAACACAGCACCACAGAGGCTCCCCAGAAACACAGCACCACAGAGGCACCCCAGAAACACAGAGGCCCCCCATCATGACCCCCCCCCCCCCTCCCCCTCCCTGAGATAATGCCACAGAGGCAACCAGAGATAAAGGATTATACAAGGATCACAACAGACAAATGCAACATACCTGCTTGGTCCATCACAGTCGCCATCTCCAACATACTGACAGAACACACACTTTCGTTTGTCCTCCACATCAGGTTTCGGGCGGTGTATTATTCCCAGCGATGTCCACAGCGTGTCCAACTCACAATCTGATGTTGGTGGGATCTTTGTCAGCTCATCTAGCAGCTCTTGGTTGCCTCTCCTCCATCGTAATCCTCGCCATTTTTTCACCAAAGGCTGCACGAAGAGTTGATAAAGAATTATCTAACAGATCCAAAATATGTGAAACTCTTTCAACAGAAAAGAATAATCGCCTTGTAGATTCCAGGGCACCATTTGAGGTTGGGGTGGGGGGAGAGGAGACAGAACCACAGCCGCTTAACAAGGATGTCATACAAGACAGCTAACTGGTGATTTCTTCTTCTTCTTCAGCATTCCGAGCCCTTGATGTTCATTGCTGCAGATATCACCCGCCTCCATTCATCTCTCTGGTTGGCTTTCTCTTTCCAGTTGGTGACACCAAGTGTTTGCAGGTCTGTCTGGATATTCTCTCAAAATACTTCCTGGTCTGCCTTGTGGTCTACGACCATTCATCTGCCTCGTGTATACAGTTTTTACTTCTCTGTCATCTGAAATTCTCTCAACATGCCCCAGCCATTTCAGTCTATTAGCTCTCATGATGCCAGTGATCAGTGGTGATTTAAACTGATTTTGAATTTCGCTAATGCTTCTCACTTTCCATTCCCCACTGTTTGCATCCCTGCTGGGGAGTTTGTGAAATTAAACCCTAAAACAAAAATGGATGAGGCAGGCAAAAGTGCTGGACTGGATTTCAATCATGTTGATGATACAACTGCACAGGATATAACAGCACTGAATTGGAAAAAAAAACCCACACAAAAACTGCAAGTCCCATGTGACACACAATAAAATTAGATGTGCTGGGTCAAAAGGCACAGACACAACAACACAGATGTCTCCTTCTTCTTCTTCGCATTCACCGGCTGTAAATTCTAGCACAAAGGTCTAGCTGTTCGTCCATCTCCGGACTTCAGTCTTATTCAAGAACCTCAGTGTTGTGTGCACATCCGTTTTACAGAGCTGACTTATTTGTATTTGCCAACTGCTAGTTCCTTGCCTCTTCTCATGCAGATGCACTCCAACTTCGAAGGAAGCCGACAATTATTCAACTCTTACAACATGCTTGCTGGAGGGGCACTGGGTCTATTCTTGTTTTCCCCACAGTGGGGTTCCAGAAACCACACAGGGACACAACACAAAGTGAACCACAACACACATGTGAACCACAACACAATCTGCAAAGTGCATGGTAAGGGAAATGTATATGAAAATATTAACGTATAAATTGAACAGAATATGTTGTAACTAACCTCTGTCCTATCACAATTAGAAAAAGAAATGAAAGAGCATTAAACTTTCTATAAATAACATGAGGATCTCATCTCACCTCAATCCTCTTATGCCATGGGGAATTATAATCTGCAGGAAAAGTATCCATTACTGCGCTTCATCTGTGGAGGTTCCTTAGGCACTTTCATCCTCCATCCCTCATTTACATGGTTGGTTTCAATTTCCATATGGTCTCTTTATCTACACTCATCATTAACATATGGATGAGAAGTAACCATTATAGAAAGATCCGTTCCAGAGATCTCATCCTGCTATGATGCCTCAAAGCATTTCATGAGAAGGGAAAAGAAGAAGAGGAAAAGAAGATAAGAAGCACAAAACAATCACAGACAGGAATAACAAGAATGTATACCTTGGTATAGGCTGAATCTGAGACCTGACTGCTTGATCTTCGCTGTCGCTTGGCAGCTTTCAAGACAGATGGAACAGTGGGAAACGGTGAAGTGGGTGATGTAGAAGGAGTCCCTGGGCTAGCAGACATATCTCCTGGGGTATTGGGCTCTCCTGGAGACAGTGACATGTCTGCAGCAACAGCAGCAATGACCTCATCCACATTGGAAGCAACTGTTGCGGCCGCTGGTGTAGGGATCTCTATTTTGACAGGCTGGTATGGGGAGAGAGCTGATGCATGTGTAGATTCTAGTTCTTTTATACGCAGAGCCTGTCGCTGGCGTGCCTCTAAGGCAGCAGAGAACTGCATTGAACAGTTCATGGAACAGAATATCATCTCCTCATCTCCACAGTCCTGCAAGATGACAACAACAACAGCAATTACTGTCTGAATGTCATTTAGAAATAAAAAAAAACCATCAGAGAAACATAAACAAACAAAAATATATACAAATATAATGGCTAACCACAGGCAAATGTAATAAGCTTTTCCCCCCGTTCTCTTTATTCTTCGATGATACACAGAACCAGTTCTATCATTTGTTATTGCTAACAATTAGTGATTAGAAAGAATTATCATCACAGCACTCCAGACAGATCCATAGGTGCTCCGATCTTCTCCGCAAAAGCTCCACAAGTGTAAAACAACTGATGATGCCTGTTCTGTGTTGGTTAATGAAACGTCTTGTTCCCTTAGTGAAATGTTCATTTCTTGCAGTTCCAGGCTGCACCCCCATGTCCATCAGTCTAGACAGGGATATGGAGTCATGTCTTTTGGCATGCTCCTCTGTACGATAAGTGCAGTGCATGGTACTGATAACATTACTTCTGTCGAGTACTGGGCCAGCCATAGCAACTGCAGTGTCAGCAAGAAGGTTAAGGCAGATATTCGTGAAGTGCTTAGTGTTTCAATCCATTCTTTCCTGATAAATCCAGCTTGGATTTTTTAAAGCATATTCATCGAGTCACTAAGAATGCATACGAGTGTGAACTTTTGAGTACCAAGCCACGCTAAAGCCCTTGTTACAGCTATAGTTTCCATTGTAAGACTACTAGTTGTAACAGCAAAGGCGCCATTCATCTCCTTGATGCTAACAATGTTTACACTAACTTATCAAAAGTTTTCTTTAGAAGACTTATGGGCCAGAACTCTCCTACAAACACAAATAACAGACTGCCCCAACTACTCCCATGAGTTAAAAATAAAAGTGAAACAAAACAACAGCAAACTCACAGGGTCCTGTTCTAGCAGTATGGGGAACTCCCTCCTGTATTTGGCGATGCCAGAACACAAGACAAAGACATCACAATGCTGACAGAATCTGGGTCGTGTGGACATGAGCGTGTGGATGTTGACAGCTTCTTCTTTGTCTGGAGGGAAAGACAGATCAACATTCAACAACATCATGGCTGTCAACTACACGAATCAAGTAACTATTACTAAACTGGCACATAGGGAGCTGCCATAGTGTAGCGGCTAGATGCTCATCTGTGGATCTAAAGGTTGTGGCTCAAATCCAAATGGAGCTGTGCTTAAAAAAAAAAAATTAGCTCACAGGTCAAACCAGCCTTAAATAGGTATCAGAGAATATCATGGGAAGTAAAGGTGGCCGGTGTGATGTTGACCAAATCACTGAGTGCCGATTTGTCTATAAAATATAGGTCTAGAACTATAAGCTCAATACACCTAAAGGCATAGAAAATAATCCTTTAAAGTGGCACAGATGATGATGAAAATAGGAGTGAGTACAGCTGAAGTGATACCACAAAGTACTAAATACAACACAAATTGTGCTTAGAAAGTTCTTCGCAGGGAATGTGGAATTTATGTGCATCTTTTCCATTCCTTGTGTTCAGCTTTCTAGTAACAGCTTATTTTGTATTAAGTACTTCTTAACTGGCATATGGTATTAAGTACTTCTCAACTGGCATATGGTATTGAGTACTTCTCTGCATATGGTATTAAGTACTTCTCAACTGGCATATGGTATTAAGTACTTCTCAGCATATGGTATTAAGTACTTCTCAACTGGCATATGGTATTGAGTCTCAGCATATGGTATTAAGTACTTCTCAACTGGCATATGGTATTAAGTACTTCTTAACTGGCATATGGTATTAAGTTCTTCTCAACTGGCATATGGTATTAAGTACTTCTTAACTGGCATATGGTATTAAGTACTTCTCAACTGACATATGGTATTAAGTACTTCTCAACTGGCATATGTGTTTACCATGTACCTGCTACTTATTTTGACCTGCTGCCTCCAAATAACGAAAATGTCTCATTGCAGGGGTAAGTTACCTTTCCCAGCAGTGTTTAGTACAGACTTATTTTTTTTCAAGTCAGTGTCTGTACAATGGAATTACCTTTTTCTATGAGTGCCTGAAAATGGGATTACCTTTTCTAGCAGTCTATACATGTAATTACCTTTTCCATCAGTGTCTGTATATGGAATTACTTTTCCATTAGTGTCTGTACATGGAATTACCTTTTCTATCAGTGTCTGCACAATTACTTTTCCATTAGTGTCTGTACATGGAACTAACTTTTCTAGCAGTATATACATATAATTATTATTTCCATTAGTGTTTGTACACAGAATTACCTTCTCTAGCAGTGTTGTACATGGAATTGCCTTTTGCAGCAGTGTCTGCACAGGAAATTACCTTTTCTGACAGAGTCTGCACATGGAATTACCTTTTCTAGCAGAGCAATACATGGAATTTCCTTTTCTAGCAGAGCAATACACTGAACTATCTTTTCTAACTGTGTTGTACATGAAATTACCTTTTCTAGCAGTGCTGTATAAAGAATTACTTTTTCAACCAGTGTCTGCACATGGTGTGCCACTTTACATAACAAATGGATCTATCCACTTCTATCTTGTGCAATCCTTTGGATATTATGGATGGTATCTAGTCCAGCATCTTTGACTTCTCAACAGTGTTTGTCTAAGGGTATTTCTCGGATGTTCTTGTTTTCTGAATACCTTTGTTTCTCATTTCACTGCCCAATCAGCGAATCTCTGTCAGCTTCTCTTCATGATGTGACATATATTTTGCTGTCTTCTGTTTCCTATAACTGTTGATACTTCTTGTTCTTCACGTTCACTGGCTGTAATTTCTTGTGGAAAGGTCTAGTTGTTCACCTACCTCTGTACTTTGGTCTTGTTAGAGTGTTGTGTGCAGATCTGTTTTATCGATCAGACTTATTTGTAGGCACTGTTGGTTCCTTACCTCTCAGGCAGATGCACTCTTATTTTGAAGGAAGCCACTAATTGGTCGACTCTGATGACAAGCATGATGAGGAAGCAGTGTGTCTATTCTGGTCTTCCCCACAATGGGGCCTCAGAACCCGTATGGGGAGAACTGTTGATACTACTAGTGGCTGTTCAGATATTAATCTGATTTCTTCACCTTTTGCATTCAAGTTTCATCAATTTCCTTAGGCATTTAATATTAAAAAAAAAAAAACACATTTACCTTTAGTGGTATACACGCTCTGAAGAAATATGAAAATCTATTTACTTACGGGTGAGGGACATTCGGAACATTTCCGGCGAAGGGCTACGTGTGATCTCATATGTTGGAGGTACTGCAATCTTCAAGAGGTCAGCAATTGCAGAAATGACAGCTCCAATATCTTGGGCAGCTCCAGTGGATAGGGTTAAGGTAACAGACACCTGGTGGCAGACATTTACAAACATTCAGGTAATTTTTCCCTGATGTAAATGTGAACAGAGAAATGGTACACAAGAAGATATGGATTGCAGGATAGCTTTCATAAAGGCTACCGGCCTCCTGATATATAAGTTTTCTGACAGAAGGATCGAAGAAGAAGAAAAGAAGAAGAAGACAGGATGAAAAATGTATGCCTGAGAATATACAACAAAATATGCCAACCAATAAATTATGCAATCCGCTGTCTGTGTCTTTGTTGTTATTATTCTTCTTCTTACGGTTCACTGGCTACAAATTCTAGTGGAAATGTCTGGTTGTTCGTCTACTCCTGGACTTTGGTCTTGATCCAGAACTTGAACTTTGTGTGCACATCCATTTTACAGACCTGACTTACTTATATGCAGATTGCTGGTTCCTTACTTCTCAGGCAGATACACTCTGACTTTAAAGGCATAACCTCCCTAATTAGTCACCTCCTACAAAATGGTTGCTATGGGGTCAGTGTGCTGTATTCTCCAAAATTAAGCGCTGGAACCCACAAAGGAAAAACTAAAAATTTACAATTCTTAATTATTATGCAAAAAAATATATATTGAAACAGAAAAATATCACTTCTCTAAGATAAAATAGTAGACTAACTGTCACAATGCAAATTTCTGATGTTTGTTTCCACAGTGGCACCATGCCTTATTTCCCCCCAACATTTTTACGAGAAAAAAAAATGGCAAAAAAAAAAAAAAAAAAAAGAAATGAAGCTTTTTTCTAGGACACACACACACACAAGAAAGACACATAAATGTTGTTTGAGAGGTCAGAAAGAAATGATGTAAAAGAAACAAAATAATGAAATACACAAAGCTAGAAAGGAAAGAAATAGCAGAAGGTAACAATGATAGAAAGAAGAAATAAAATAAAGATGGCAAGACAGACATACATAAAAAAAAAATAAAAAAAGAGAAAGAGAGAGAGGAGAGAGAGAGAGAGAGAGAGAGAGAGAGAGAGAGAGAGAGAGAGAGAAAGAGAGAGAAAGAGAAGGGGAGGGGGGGGCGCAAAGCTTTGTACAAAAAGTGAGGAAAGTAAGAAATGAATATAATAAAACAGACAGGAATTTATAATAGAAAGAAAGAAAAAGAAAAAAAAAAAAAGAAAGAAAGAGAGTTTGACCCTCTTACCTGCTGATCCAAAGCAGGATCAAGGAATGGTTGAGCAAGGCCGGAGGTCAAGTTGGGTAGGTTGACCGTCAGGTCACGTGCTGGGTGGTCAACCGGTTCATGGTCACTACTATCCTGCTTCATCATTCCCAGCTCCAGTTTGACACTGGCAGTGTCGGTCACCATATGATCCAGTGATGAAAATGCTGGAGGGAAAGAATAATAATTCAATGTATGTTCAGCTCAGAGACTGGCATATAAACAGGCGCTAAACAATAGACACACCTGGTTAAACCCTACTAGGCATGGTCTCAAAGATTCCTTTTAGGAATTTTTCAGTGCAACATTTCCAGGTATTATTTTGTGGACTCCTTCTCTGAATTTCTTGAAGAACCCTATTTAGTATTAGGCATATTTTGTGAAACCAGGCATATAAACAGGCGCTAAACAATAGACACACCTGGTTAAACCCTACTAGGCATGGTCTCAAAGATTCCTTTTAGGAATTTTTCAGTGCAACATTTCCAGGTATTATTTTGTGGACTCCTTCTCTGAATTTCTTGAAGAACCCTATTTAGTATTAGGCATATTTTGTGAAACCATCAGAGGTATATTTTGTAAGTTTTTCTGGGCATTTCTTGCTGATACATACTATCATCATCACCAAGTGACTTGCCAGCTGGCGTAGGCATTCATGCATCTCCACAGGTCTCAGTCTCTTGAGTTCTGGATAAATTCCACTGATGATATTCTTCCATGCCACTGTCTTAAGCCATCCACCATCATTTCTCTTGGTCTGCCTCTGTCTCTTTTACGAGTGATCTTTTTAGTCGTCACAGTATTTTCCAGTGCTCCTTTTCTCTTTACATGTCCAAAGAACTTTGTCTCCTTCTCATTGTTGTATTTAATGTTCTACTTTCCAGGCAATCATTGTTAGTTATTCTGGCAGTCCAAGATATCCTCAACATTCTTCTCAAGAACCATTGTCTCACTTGCCTCCAAACTCTTCTTAATTTGTTTGCTCACATTCCAAGTTTCACTGCCATACAACAGAACAGGCTCGACATAACATTTCAATACTCGTTTTCTGATGTTTAATGAAAGTGATTTATTACATAAGATGCTTTTCATCTTATGAAAGACTGCCTTTGCCTAGTCAATTCTGCTCTTAATTTCTGTCACACATCGTCCATCGGATGTTATGAATGTCCCCAAATACTTGAATATATAGATTATTGCTCTACAATATGGGATGGCTGTTCCAGCTCTGTTATCAAGTTGCTCATGTCACTGCAAAAGAGCGCTATTCGCTTAACCAGTAACAATCATGGGACAGTGAGTTCCGAAACATATAAAGGTCTTATGCTACTACCGCTTCATGAACCTCTACTTTTCAAAAAGGCAAAATTTATTATACAATATTATCCCAAAAGGCTCCAGGTTACTAATGGCCATTGTTTAAATATAATGGAAAGCATAGTAAATGCCTAAAAATATTACACATCCCTAAACCTAAGATAGACCTATACAAAACAAGTTTGGCGTACTCCGCAGCCCAATTGTGGAACTATTGACCACAGCAAATCAAAAGTACCACTAGTCCCTATTCATACAATCGGAAACTGTTTGAATATTATCTGAGCACAAATTATAAGCCCCCATAGAAGATCATAAATATGTTATATAAAGTGCACATTTTCCCTAGATTTCTTACAATTACTACAGTTTACTGTAGTTAGCAAATGTGAACATTTCAGTGCTTCTATTGAATATCTTGATGCTATTGATAATGTTGAAAATTACTTGATGTATGAACAAGATTATGTAACAACGGAGGGAGACCTCAAAGAGCAGAATGTTAGACAGGCCTGCGTGCCCAATTCTTAACCCTTTTAAAAATAAAGTTTGTTCGTTCATTGGCTCTACATAAACTCTAGTATATAAACAAGAGGCAAATAAAAGGCATGTCTCATTAAACCTCTCGAGGCATTATATTGCGGATTCTTTCAAGGAATTTTCTGTGAAATTCTTCTAGGCATATCTTGTGAAACCTCCCCGAGTATATGTTGTGAAAAGGACACATGAACACATTACAAATTTGTGGAAATAATTGTAAACAAAAAAATAACAGAATTAAACAAAAACAAAAAAATTGAAAGAAAAAACAATTAAGCGTCTGGCCACAGATATAGTAAATGTGAATAGTTTTAAAAACCTAGCCTTCATTCAATAAAAACAGCTCATAAAATGTTTGGTTCTCTCAGATGCATTCTAGAATACTTGGACAATACTGAGAGCTTTTTGCTGTGATAAAGGTCACATTTGAAGGTACTTATGGCACTAACTTTGTGCAAAGAAGATATGGTCCTTGAAAACTAAACATAAACAAGTGAGCACAGCTAAAAACAAAACAAATGTAGAATTGTAAAGCAGCACAGTCCAGCACAACAGGGAAACTGTACCCCTTCCATCAACAGATTACAACTCATGCTATGTTTGTTTACTTTTTCTTCAACCTTTTACGAATGAAACTCACTCAATTATGTAGGGAAGTGTACAGGAAGTAGTCATAATGTGTGAGATAGTATGTGACTCTATATAAGGCTCATAACCACTCAGTGCTCTAATACAGTAAATGGTGAGATCCACTTGATGTCCAGATTCACGTGAAGCTGAGCCTCACAAGAAACTCGGATCCACTTGATACCCAGAGACACAAGGAATCCACACTCACTGGATGACCAAAGCCACAAGAAATTCTGACCAACTTGATGGCCAGATCCACATGAAACTCAAGACTCATCTGATGATCAAAGCCACAAGAAACTCAGACCCACATGATGCCCAGACCCACACGAAACTCAGATCCACTTGATACCCAGAAGCACATAAAAGTCAGAGCCACCTGAAACCCAGAACTACTTGATGTTTTGTGTTTGTTTATAGGCATTTTTTCATCATTTCAGACCACAATGTTATACTGTACTCTGAGGAGGCATGAGAATCACAAGACATGGCAACTGGTGAGTGTGACTGGCAAGACTGGCCCCACATTAAGAACAGTTTTCCACAATTAGAGCATGGGATTTTATGACTGCTGTTGCCGTTACATGTAATTAGAATATTATTTAAATATGTCTCCCTTTGTCAGAGGCAACCTGTGGCCCCCTCGTCTACGCCATCTGACAAGAACTTATAACCCATAACTCCTGCCTCTCGATTTGCTTTGGTGACCAGTTAAGGCCAGAGATGAAGTTCCTCCTCTCCCTACACAGCACAAAGCCTGGGCAGTATTGTAGAGATTATGTGTTGTCCATGCCTCATAATCCCTCTCTCAGCTAGCCACATTGTTTACTCCAAAGGAAAGATAACACCAGTACATTTGGAACAAAGCAAACTGTGAAACTTGATGTTAAGACCCATTTTACTAACACACTTATCTACAACCACATTCCCACTCCTTACCTGGCTTGATAGGCAAAGGTTGTATCAAGGGCACCACTGGGGATATGCTATCTTCTGATGATGCTGCATTGCTAGCTGCAGGATCGATCGGTCGCAGGCCTGGGTATTCTAGATCCTGCTCATTGAAGCCAAACTCGGGAGAAGACGAGGACACAACTGTATCTGGTGTCTGCCTTTCGTCTTTTCTGTAATAAAACATTGCATATACACTGACTGATTGACTGGCACCTTTTTCTCTTTCCAGATGACAGTTTTATGTTATGCTATGGCAAGGGAAACACAGCCCATGGCGCTGGTGAGTGATTAGTTAGACCTGTCTTGGGCATTATCTGCTGTCATTTAAAATGGTCAGTAATACAATTATCTCTAACTAATAAATCTCTCAGGCGAGGACAAATATTCAGTCAGGACAACATAACTCTCTCAATCCACATAATGCACAGAAAAGAAAAATCAAACAGACCAAAAAAGAGAAGGAAAAAAAACAGAAAAACACACACACACACACACACACACACATGTGATCTTTCACATTAGGACAGACCACTGTAAAATTACTAAACTGTATTCTTCTAAAGACTACTTGCTATTTACCATCGCATTCACCCACACATACTATAAATGTGGCCTGTAGGTTAATTTCATTTCTCTAAGAATGTCCTTGATGTCGATATTGCATGTTCTGCATGGTCTTTCCCTGATTTTGTAGTGATGCAACCTCTTTGAAATATAAAAACTCTTGCAAACTCTGGTTAGATGTTTTGTGATTCCACATTTATAGGCCATCCTACATTTTCTTTTTACCTAACCTGTCAAAAGTTTGTTTCCTTGTCTATAAATATAGCCTTGTTTTCACATAAGCATACTCATTCAACGCATTGCTGGGTGGCCTTGCTTGGGGATGTTGCACTTTCTTTCCTTACAGCTTTCTTACTATTACTATATTATTTTTAATTATCCCTTTTCCTAGTGTGAGTTCTAGGAAAACAAGAATAGAACCACAGCCTACCCAAAAGCATGTCATAAGAGTCAACTAATTGGGAGCTTCCTTTGAAGTCGGAGTGCATCTGCCTGAGGCAAGGAACCATCCATCTGTATATGCATGAGTCAGATCTGTAAAACAGATATGCACGCAACACCCAGGTTCTAAAACAGGACTGAGTCCATTAGTTGATGAATAACCAGAACTTTCTGCCAGAATTACAGCCGGTAAACGCAAAGAAGAAAGAAGAACTGTCCCCATATACCGCTGACAGATATACACACTTATCTGTAGCATCAGCTCTCGTTTTATTCTTAGCTTCTACAATATCACTACACATATTGACTTTTATTTGCAAGTAAAGCAGTTCGCTGTTTCGAATGTCATTACTTCTAGTGTCCAAGTTTAATTTAAAACTGCTTGTTCTGATTTAATTTTTAAATTAAAAACATTCCCTCTATAAGACACTGTTTGAAGTGATTTCCTCTATCTAATCTGCGTACCCAGTGAGGTTGAGATGAAAATGTTCGTGCGTTTTCCTCCCTTGGAGCTGCTATGAGAGAAGGTTGGACACTCAATCAGGATAAGAGACACATGGGGCAAATCCTATGAATGATAGCCTTTTCAACCTCTTAAAAAAGTTTTAATTGGGGCACCTGTAACTGTTACACCAGTTTGGTGCAACTTGCAGTCCTGTGCAGGTAAGGATAACGTAACCTGAGATGATTACGAGACAAAACATCTTCAATGTAGGGTATAATGGTTGAGTCTGCATTCATCATTTCTCAAAAAGATCTCAACCAACCCTATTTACTAACATTATATAAGCACATGATAAATGTGAGATGAGACGTAATGTTAGTCATTCTGTAGATGATTAGATATTTTCTGAAATAAGGACATGTCTGCTAAATGGCAGAACTATGGCAACTCTAAAAAATGCACACACAAAAACATAGACATTGACATTTACAAAATAAATATACTATTAAAATGAAAAAAGAAATTCACAATTGTCCCCAGCTCGTTTTTATCAGCTGATGAGAAACTCCTATTCTTAAAATATGCAAAAGAATTGCTGATTGACTGAACCCCAAGGTATTCTTGTGTGCAATTTAAACAACTGTGTTCATTAAATTACAAAGATTCTGAATGTCAACATTGTTAGAAACTTATGTTCCTTTCAGCAGGTATGCATTTCTGTTTTTGAAAAGTATATAAAAGTATAACAGCTTACTTGTCTCTCATTTGTTCTGACTTGATTTCTATTCGAGGCTGTGGAGGTAGCACAAGTCTTGGGCTGGTTCGAATCCCCGATCTTGCTTCCATCATGTTCCCATCCTTGTTCTTCAACACTATCAACGGGTCTGTTCAAACAAAGTGCACATAGTCAGGTTAATAAATAAATGACCAGGTTTTTCAACTGGGTGATAAGTTTTTTAAATTCTCAGTCTTAGTACGCTCAGACAGGGAGGAAGGAAGATCATTCAGTTCATAAAGACATCCTCTATGGTGAATTACAGATATGTAGAAGATGCTGGGGGTGGCCTCTACTGTGACTTAAAGATGAGTGCATGTGGGACATAAAGGATACATGTATTGAGATGGATTCATGTGAACAGGAGGCCAAGCAAGGCACAGCATGGAGAGGGAAAATCAGAAAGGAAAGCAGGACAACAGAGAAAATGACAGGAGATGTGTTCAGAGCTGAGCATCTATCAAAATAAGAGAAAAAACAACATGTGGCAATGAAATGGCAATGATGGTCATGAAATCCTAGGCATTAATTGTGGAACATATTTCTTAATACCAGCGGGTCTTGCTAGTCACACTCGCCATCACCACGGGCTACGATTCCCATGCCTCCTATAAGACATTGGAACACTATCGTCTAAAAAACCAGAAATGAGCACACACACACACAAAAAACAAAAACAAAACAAAAACTGGTGTTCACAATGTAAAAATGAGATGGCATATTAGCACAATCAAGGTAGCCTTAAAATGATAATAGATAATAGGCATTATAACGTGATGTGATCAGTTCCATTTGAAACTTTATATTCTTCAATTTTACAGTGCCAGGACAACTCTACTCTACGTCTGGGGGACCATGCCAGATGACTGCACTTACATAAGTACGGTTAACTATTTACTGTGACATCATATCTAGCATTTGCAAACAGAATATATATATATATATATATATATATATATATATATATATATATATATATATATATATATATATATAGAGAGAGAGAGAGAGAGAGAGAGAGAGAGAGAGACAGACAGAGAGAGAGAGAGAGAGAGAGAGAGAGACAGAGAGAGAGAGAGAGAGAGAGAGAGAGAGAGAGAGAGAGAGAGAGAGAGAGAGAGAGAGAGAGAGAGAGAGAGAGAGAGAGAGAGAGAGAGAGAGAGAGAGAGAGAGAGAGAGAGAGAGAGAGAGAGACACAGAAACAGACATTCATATACACAGACACACAGAGAAACAGACAGTACTAACATGGAGATGAAAGACAAACACACCTATAGATAAAAATGCATAAGATAACAAGACAGAAAGACGTTGACAAAACCAAAACAATAAAAACCCAGACCCTCACCTAAATCGGGTAGCATCTTCAGCTTGCTGTCACTGGCCAGCTGTCTCTGCGCTATTACCTCGGTGGAAGGCACTGTGGGCCGCAGCCCTGGGGGAGGCTGAGGGAACAACAAGCTACCGTACAGGTCTCCAATGCCATCTAAGTAAGCACTGCAGAACCTCCCTCGCAGGGTAGACACTCCTAAAGGAAACAGGCAACATGTTGAGCAAAGTGTGTTTAATAGCTCAAAGAATGTTTACCAAAAAAAAAAAATACATGTACAGATATTTCTTTTTTCTTTTTCTTTGTCACAATGGAGAGTGGAAGCCGCCATGGTGTAGCAGCTAGCAGCTTGTCTGTGGATTGGAAGGTCATGTATTCGGATCCTGACAGCCAGACTATTTTCAAAAATGACTTCTGCTCCCAGCTTGACCCAGCCTTGAGTGGGTACCAGGTACAGTCTTGGGAAGTAAAGGTGATTGACATGATGTTGACCACATCACCCACCAAGTACCGATTGGTCTAGAAAATATAGGTCTGGCCCTACATGCCTGATATGCTTGAAGCACGGAAAAGGATCCTTTACTTTGTACTGCAGAGTAATACCATTTAATTAACATAATTACACATTACTGATTTATTACAACCACCAAGAAATTTGCCTACAAGAAGATCAGAGCACTTATGGACATGCCTAACATGAAAGATGGATTTGAACAATGAATAATGATGCTTCAGAAAATCAAAGCAATGTTTCTCTATTGTAAATTTGAACAAAGACACACAGAATAGATTGCACAATTTATTGCCTGGTATATTTTGCTGAATCTCGTCAGGTGCATACTACAGTCACAATAAGACCATGGCAATACATGCAGTCAGGGGGATAGAAAGGCAGAAGAAGAAGAAGAAATACATGCAGTCGCTTTTGAATGTGGCTGAATTTGTACTTCAGTTGTAAAGGATTCACTTATTTGCTTCATTTGTTTAATTGTGACTGCAGTTTGTGTCTTCTTTGTTCGATTAAGGATGCATAAAATCAAAGTAGCACTTCTTCTTTCTTCTTTGACTTCTTTTTTCTTCAACTTTTCATACTTGCTCTTACTACTTTCCTTCTCATTCGTTGTCATTTTCTTTATTTTACACATTTCCTTTTCAGTGATTTCAATATTTCTCAATGCTGATATTCTATTTCTATTGCTTTCTCAAGGCTGCAATATGCCATCTTCTGTATTTGCAATGAAACCTGGTTATGGGTAAACAAAATATATGTTTATTACTCTGTTTATCTTCTTTAGAGTATGCTTCTTTGGTATATTAAGTGACAAGAAACAAATTCCTAATTTGTTCATTCATTTATTTACTCAAAAAATGATCTAGAAGAACAGAAATGAACCCAAGATAATAATAAAAACAGAAACCAACCCACCTGTTAAACTTTGAGCTCCCTTAATGGGCAAAATGGACAGGGATGTGGCAATGATTGGCTCCTGTAGAGGAATTGGAGGCATGTTGTGCAGCTGTTGAAGGAAAGTCTCTGCCTGGGCCTCCAGCTCCTTCAGCTGGTTCTCCTTAAGCTGCGTTAGAAAACATCATCAATTAACTGTGCTGTATGTAGAATGAACCCTTATAATTATAACTCAATCAAAACCATAAGTGACCAGTCTTCCTCTAAAGATAATCAGTGGAAACATATTAATAGTATTACTAGAAGGCCTTCCTTCTGGGGTTCACAAGGCTATTACTAGAAGGCCTTCCTTCTGGGGTTCACAAGGCTATTACTAGAAGGCCTTCCTTCTGGGGTTCACAAGGCTATTACTAGAAGGCTTACCTTCTGGGGTTCACAAGGCTATTACTAGAAGGTCTTTCTTCTGGGGTTCACAAGGCTATTATTAGAAGGTCTTCCTTCTGGGGTTCACAAGGCTATTATTAGAAGGCCTTCCTTCTGGGGTTCACAAGGCTATTACTAGAAGGTCTTTCTTCTGGGGTTCACAAGGCTATTATTAGAAGATCTTCCTTCTGGGGTTCACAAGGCTATTACTAGAAGGCCTTCCTTCTGGGGTTCACAAGGCTATTACTAGAAGGCCTTCCTTCTGGGGTTCACAAGGCTATTACTGGAAGGCCTACCTTCTAGGGTTCACAAGGCTATTACTAGAAAATCTTTCTTCTGGGGTTCACAAGGCTATTATTAGAAGGTCTTCCTTCTGGGGTTCACAAGGCTATTACTAGAAGGTTTTCCTTCTGGGGTTCACAAGGCTATTATTAGAAGGTCTTTCTTCTGGGGTTCACAAGGCTATTACTAGAAGGTTTTCCTTCTGGGGTTCACAAGGCTATTACTAGAAGGTCTTTCTTCTGGGGTTCACAAGGCTATTATTAGAAGGTCTTCCTTCTGGGGTTCACAAGGCTATTACTAGAAGGTTTTCCTTCTGGGGTTCACAAGGCTATTATTAGAAGGTCTTTCTTCTGGGGTTCACAAGGCTATTACTAGAAGGTTTTCCTTCTGGGGTTCACAAGGCTATTACTAGAAGGTCTTTCTTCTGGGGTTCACAAGGCTATTATTAGAAGGTCTTCCTTCTAGGGTTCACAAGGCTATTACTAGAAGGTTTTCCTTCTGGGGTTTACAAGGCTATTACTAGAAGGTCTTCCTTATGGGGTTCACAAGGCTATTACTAGAAGGTCTTCCTTCTAGGGTTCACAAGGCTATTACTAGAAGGCCTTCCTTCTGGGGTTCACAAGGCTATTACTAGGTCTTCCTTCTGGGATTCACAAGGCTATTACTAGAAGGTCTTTCTTCTGGGGTTCACAAGGCTATTACTAGAAGGTCTTTCTTCTGGGGTTCACAAGGCTATTACTAGAAGCTCTTCCTTCTAGGGTTCACAAGGCTATTACTAGAAGGCCTTCCTTCTGGGGTTCACAAGGCTATTACTAGGTCTTCCTTCTGGGATTCACAAGGCTATTACTAGAAGGTCTTCCTTCTGGGGTTCACAAGGTTATTACTAGAAGGTCTTCCTTCTGGGGTTCACAAGGCTATTACTAGAAGGCCTACCTTCTAGAGTTCACAAGGCTATTACTAGAAGGCCTACCTTCTAGAGTTCACAAGGCTATTACTAGAAGGCCTACCTTCTAGAGTTCACAAGGCTAAAAATAATGGCCAGCCTAAACCCTTTAACATCGTAACTAGAAGGCACTTCTGTTGCAATCCACATGTAAATTAAATTCAGTAAAACCTCATTAACATAAACTCTTTTAAAAAGAACATTTGGTTAACATGAACACAATGTTAGTTCCAGTAAGGACTAGAGTTAGTTCCTGGTTAGGACACATTTTTTGAACAATCTCCTGATGTTTCGATCCCTCAGAATTCATGTTTACAAGATTTTAGTGTATAGTCGTTAGAAGCAGTTAACAGCATAACTATAAATTTGTTCCTCTTGACGAGAGAGAGAGAGAGAGAGAGAGAGAGAGAGAGAGAGAGAGAGAGAGAGAGAGAGAGAGAGAGAGAGAGAGAGAGAGAGAGAGAGAGAGAGAGAGGGTGGAGAGAGAGGGGAAGAGAGAAAGAGAGAGGGTGGGAGGGAGAGGGGAGAGAGAGAGGAAGAGAGAAAGACAGAGAGAGAGAGGAGGGGAGGGAAGGAGGAAGGAAAGGAGGGAGGGAGGGAGAGAGACAAAGATAGAGAGAGAGAGGGGGAGGAGGGAGGGAGGGAGAGAGAGAGAGAGAGAGAGAGAGAGAGAGAGAGAGAGAGAGAGAGAGAGAGAGAGAGAGAGAGAGAGAGAGAGAGCAAGAGAGAGAGAGAGCAAGAAAGAGAGAGAGAGAGAGCTAACATAACATGGAGAAACATTAAAGGGATCGTAAAAGATCGACACAGATTTTACATGCAATGGCTGAAACACTATGCTCCACATGAAAGTAAAAGGCATAGGAAACAATTACACATTTTAGTTTCTTCAGAATATTTCAGAGTGATCTCACCTTGGATTTCTTGCTTCTCTTTCTTGGCAGGTCAGCTGTGACCTCTACTCCTACTTTTGCTTTTCGTTTCTTTTTCTCAACACCTACAGTGGAACCACCTACAGCTTTTCGCTTGTTTTTTCGGGACACTTCATATTCCTGGCGTTTCTGTTCGTATTCTTGTCTTCTCATTTCTGTATTTAGAAAACATAAGTTAAACTTCTGTACAAACTGAGCAGCTCCAGTGATAGGGCACAAACTTGTCTAACACATTTTTTACTGTTGAAACTGAACAAAGGGAAGCTGCCGTAGTGTAGCAGATGGATGCTAGTCTGCGGATCTGAAAGTCATAAGTTCAAATCAATTTGGTGCTGGACTTTTTCCCTTTGAAAATGACTTTAGCTCTCAGCCTTAAACGGGTATGGGGTAACAGTCCTGGGAAGTAAAGGCGGCCAGCGTGATGCTGACCACATCATGGCACATGGTGTAACCCATTAGTGCTCAGTTCTACTGCCAACTCAAGCCTGAGTCTGAAGAATCTCAGCACAGTGCACGAACTCTGTTGTACCGGTGAGGATCCTGAAATACTTTGGAGAGAAATACTAGAAGTCCACTAGACAAAATCCCAGCTTTCACCGGGGCTTGAACCCGGGACCTCAAGACTAGAGGTGGATGCCATACCCCGAGACCACTCAGCCTCCCGCTTCAATCAGGCATCAGCTATGATCTACTGAGACTGAAAGAGTTAGCAGGTTGAAAATTACTTACTCGGTTCTAAATTCTTATGGCTGCTTTTTGCTGCTGATATAAATTGCCCTTATTATTAAACCTTTACCATTAACATGTAAATTTTCCAGCATTCTAACTTTCTATCTTTAACCATAATTAATTAATGTGTTAATCCTATAAACACAACGGTTCATCACTAACCTAGAATCTTCTCTTTCTCTTCAGGTGTTTTACTCTCCCATTCCGGAGTAGAGATTTCTGTCTCCTTACACAGAGGCATGGAATCAATCAGCTCCAACTGTCTCTGCTGCTCTGGTGTCAAGGAAGGCAGACTGTCCTCACTCTGTAGTAGTAACATTTATATGATAACTATTATCTTTTATACACAAAGGTAACCCCTGATCACTTGTATAATAAGTAACACATGACTTCCAAACAAAAATATTCATTCTTTGTAAAAAGGCAAGTAACTTGGTCACTTGTAAAAGGTAATTATCTTGTGAGGCTCTCTTTCACACAAAAAAAAACTCTGTTGGTTCCGGGGCCCCATGGAGGGGGGAAAGATCCAATGCCGACCCACTGTCTCCCCAACAAGCATGTCGTAGGAACTGACTATCTGGGGTCGTCTGTCGAAGTCGGACTGCATCTGCCCGAGCTGCAAGGAACAACTAGCTGCACACAAATAAGCCATTAAAGTGGATGCGTGCACAAAACTCAAACCCTGGCACAAAGCCAAAATCCAGGTGGATGAACAATCAGGATTTTTCGCCGGTGCTTACTGCTGGTGAACAAAGAACGAGAATATTTCCACTCACACAAAAAGTTACTCTTGATATTTTCTCCTCCTTTATAATGGGCAAGTAACAAATGATTTCCTATTGTACAATAGGTAAGATGTCCATTTGATAAAAGGTGAGTTATACATGACCTCCCCTTCTATAATTAAGAGGTAGCAGGTGATCTCCCATTTCATAGCTGATGAGTAACCCATGACCTTTCATAAAAGGCAAATAACCCATGATACCCTTTCATAATATGCATTTAACCTTCAACCCCTGATTGGGGGGGGGGTTCCAGGTTGACCCAATGTAAAATAAGAACCAGTAAACGGTAGCAGAAATGATTATGTAACACCACCCATCAAGCACTGACAGCTCCATATAAATTTATAATAAATATACAATCACCATATATCCAAAATGACTGAAGTGTTGGAAGCTTATATTTAAAAAAAAACTATGGAACAGTGGAAAATCCCCTGTGATCCGTATACTGTGACTGAGAATAGGAGACAGAGAAAAAAAAAGAAGGAAGTACTCACATCCGGAGTTAGAAGCTGTCGCCCGCCATGTCCTGTGCCCAACAAATGCTTCAACAACTCATTCTGATGAGCCTTCAGATCCAGGTCAAGGTCATCACGAGACACTGAACCATCTGAGAAAAGATTACGTATATAATTTTTTGTTTCTGTATTCTGAGAGAGAAAGGAGTGTTTGCATATCCAGTTTTATTTGTCCTAAGACACACACATTATGTCAATTTCTTTTTTGAATTTATTCTCTTCTATGTAAGTTTTTGGTTCTTGAATATTTCTCTCACCTTAGGCATCTCATTTCCTTCATTAAAAAACACAATTTTTCACTTTATTCTACCAAACTTTCCATGTTGCACAAGGAACCTGAGATTCCATTTTCCTAACATTTCAACATTTAATAACATTTACAGCAGGATGGGAAAGAACCAAACTCAATTACAGTGAATTAACAGGTGACAAAAAGAAACAGGCCATGGATAAGGCACACACTGAGAAAAGAGGGTAAAAGTATTATTGAAAGTCCTTTCTCTGAAAGTCACTAGGCAAAAGAAATAAAAAGAAGACTTCACTCTTTCAGTCCCAAGGAACAAATCCTATGTTCACAGATTCCTATCTGAAACCCAATGGAACGCAAGATGCGTCAATTTTACTCTCCCTTGACTACTCTTTGGGCCTCGGATGCTAAATTCCCTAGGATTTACAGTTAAAAATTACACGGAGAAGAGAAAAGCTAGATGAATAATATGGGATGGGACATGTTAGCAGCAGCAGGACAAAGCAAATGATAGACAGGTTTTATGTGGAATGGTTCAGGATAATTGCTCCAAGTAGGAGAGAAGAATTGTAAGTCTTAAGTCGACTGACTGAGCCTCTTTGCTTCAGCTAGCTGTCTACAAAGAGCGTCCTACAAAGCACAAACTCAATAAACACTGCGCTTGTGAACCAAAAGACACAGTCTGTGAAACGAACCTACAATATTCAGTGCATGGGGCAAAAAGTCTATCCACCACTTATTCATAGGAACCCCCCCCCCCCCCCTTCCCCCCGAGGGGAGAAGAAAAAGAAGCCAGTAAGGCGATGGAGAATGCACAGATGTTTAGAAAGCTCTTTTTGAACTTCCTATATACAAAAAGGAAGCCACCATGGTGTAGAGGCTAGCTGCTCACCTGGCCTGCAGATCTGAAGTCTGTGGGTTCAAATCTGCATGGAGCCAGACTTTCACATATTACCTTGGCTCCCAGGTCGACCCAGCCTTAAACAGGTACCAGGAAAAGTCATGGGAAGTAAAGGTGGCCAGAATGAGGTTGACCACATCCCCCATCCACTAACAATGGTCTATAAAAGTATTAATATAAATGTTGCAATGAAATTGCATTGACCACAAACATAGACTTTCTAATGAAAGCACAATCACTGGTGACCTCATATAAGTTAGTCAGATAGCTGTTAACTCTTTGAGTCTCAGGGAGTTTAGCATCACAGGCCCAAGGGGTAGTCAAGAGAGACGTAAAATCTGCGCATCATGCGTTCATTGGTCCTCTAGGTAGGAATCTATGAACGTATGATGCGTTCCTTGGGACTCAATGAGTTAAACAATGCCTAACCTGCAGAAACGGAGTCCTCACTGGGCTCTAGCTTGATGTGCCCACTGACACTGACAGCTGTGTCAGACATGGGTGACGTCAGTCCGGGAGTAGACACAACAGAGCCGGAGTCACTGGCAGCCTGCAGGTGATGCTGCTGGTGTAGAGGCAGGAAGCCACCAGGGTCTCCATGCAACATGCCATATGATCTGTAGACATCAGTAACAGAAAAATCACATAATCAGCATCACCTTCAAGACAACATGCCATATGATCTGTAGACATCAGTAATAGAAAAATCACATAATCAGCATCACCATCAAGACAACATGCCATATGATCTGTAGACATCAGTAATAGAAAAATCACATGATCTGCATCACCATCAAGACAACATGCCATATGATCTGTAGACATCAGTAATAGAAAAATCACATGATCTGCATCACCATCAAGACAACATGCCATATGATCTGTAGACATCAGTAATAGAAAAATCACATGATCAGCATCACCTTCAAGACAACATGCCATATGATCTGTAGACATCAGTAACAGAAAAATCACATGATCTGCATCACCTTCAAGACAACATGCCATATGATCTGTAGACATCAGTAACAGAAAAATCACATGATCTGCATCACCTTCAAGACAACATGCCATATGATCTGTAGACATCAGTAACAGAAAAATCACATGATCTGCATCACCATCAAGGCAACATGGCATATGATCTGTAGACATCAGTAACAGAAAAATCACATGATCTGCATCACCATCAAGACAACATGCCATATGATCTGAAGACATTAACAACAGATAGCATAGTCTGCATCATCAAGTGTCGCTTACTGGCATAAGCGATCACACCTCTCCACAACCTGCGATCTTCAACAGCATGTTTCAGTACGTGCACTGACATCCTCCATACCATGACAAAAGGCTGTCAACAATCGTCTCACATTGTCTTTCTGTCTTTTTTCCACAGATACTTCCAGTGGTCACAACAGGTTGCAGATTTCTTATTCTGATAATATGACCAAAAAATTATCATTGTCTCTTTTGATGTCTGTAATAAGCTATCGTCAAACCCTCACCTCTATCGAAACATCTGGATAGCTCTTTTCGGCTGTCTAATGAATTTAGAAGATTCTTCTGTAAAACTACATCTCTAAGGCCTGATCTTCCTACAGATGCACATTTTAATTAGCACTAGATCCACCTGGCCTATAAATAGGTATCAGAAAATGCTGTGGAAATCAAAGGCAGCCAACATTAAGTGTTGATTAGTCTATTAAAATATAGCACACTATTCCTCAAGGCATGAAATGATCGTCTAATTTTTACTTACAGCGTTCAAGGAAGACAACACGAAGGAAAATTGTGGATAACATCAAAGTGTAGACAATTAGGGGATGTAAAGTTTTCACACTTGTAAGACTTGCTGAGGACAATGAGCAGTGGAAGTCTGGCTGTTGCTGATGCCTCTATTGGGACACCCCTACAACCCCTAACCCTGAGGTTACACAATGAGTTAATGATAATGATGAATATGCCTTAAAAAAACCTAACATCTCATACCAGCATACAAAGTGAGTATATAAATAGGGGGGTGACTGCAGCTGATCCCCAAGAAAAGCTAAATATAAAACAAAATTTGACTAGAAAGCTCAATGGAGGGAATAAAAAAAAATGCACACACACAAATTCCAACATTTCGACCAAAGTCTTTATCAATGGAGCACTAACTAAACACAGCACAAACTGTGACTGGAAAACTCAACAGACAAGACAGAGCTAAAATAAAAAAAAAATAAAAAAATAAAACCAAGGTCAATATGAAACTAAGAAGTACTTAAGTGGGGGTGGGTGGGCGGGGAATATGAATATGTAGGCTTGTGTTGTGAACTAAAATACAGAAATAATTGCAACACAGAATCCGAAACAAATTAACAGGATGATGACATGAATACACGGGTATATATTAGAGTGAGTAACCAGCCTGATTTGAAGTTAAGGGCACATACCTCTGTGTCTTTGGCTTTCCTCCCATCATCATACTGACATCTCCTGGCATGCCAGGGAGGCCCAGGTTGCCACTCATTGGCAGAGAAGTAATGAAACTTTTATCATCTGCCATAGTATCCATCTGCCGAAGAGACTGAGTCTGCATCACTGGCGACATTTGAGGTGACATGTGGGGCGACATTTGAGGAGACGACATCTGGGGGGAAGGCTGGGGGCCCGGAGGTGTCATGCCCCTCATCATCATGTGCCGGTAGTGGGATGCCATGTGGGGGCCATCATTTGAGGCAGCCATCATCCTCAGCTGTGCGGCCATGCGGTTATCTGCTCCCATCATCTGCGGGAACACTGGCGGTCGCTGATGGTGAGGACCAGGAACTGGTGATCCCATGTTAGTGTTAATCCCATGATGTCCTGGTGGGTGGAAGTTTGCTAGAGATGCCAAAGGACCACCGCCGCCTCCGGCGCTGATGGGTGCCTGAGGATATGATGAGGGTGGCCCGCCCTGCATCATAGGGTGGTGTGGACTCATCATTTGTGGCCTCTGCATAACATGAGGTGGGGCCTGTTGCATGGCATGAGGTGGGGCCTGTTGCATGGCATGGGGTGGTGCCTGTTGCATTGCATGAGGTGGCCCCTGCTGCATTGCATGAGGTGGCCCCTGCTGCATCAGGTGGGGTGAAGCCTGCTGCATTCCGTGGGGGGAAGTTTGCATTCCGTGGGGGGAAGTCTGCATTCCATGTGGTGACTGTGGCACACCATGTGGGGAAGGTGCCATGGCGTGCGACATGCCGTGTGAAGTTGGTGACATTTCTGACATAGAGTGGGATGGTGACATGAACTGATGAGGCATCCTTGTATGCATACCGTGTTCCGGACTCATCATCTCGGGTGGCAGCTGGCGATGCTGTGGATGAGGCATCCCCCGAGGTGGGCGAGGCATGCGGTTCATATCACCACCCATTCCAAAATGTGGCGGCCTCTGGCGGTGCATACTTGTGCCTGTGGGTGACATGGGGTGTGCTGGCATTCCGTAACCCGGTCCTGCTGACATATCGTGGTGCATTCTGGGAGGGAACCTGACTCCAGACATGAACTGCTGCTGGGGAGGCCCACTGCTCTGTAAGTAAGCTTGAGGATTCTGTCCAGGTCCTGCCTTGGGGGGCATCCCTGGTGAATTGCCCATTGATCGAGGTCCCATCATACCTTGTAATATAACAATAAATTAGAGTAAATATTTCAACAAAAATTGACCAAGTAATTGACCTACATTTTACAATAAGCAGAAAATAATGTTTTAATTATTACAATTAAAATTAAAAATAACAATAAGAGAGGGATGCTTTAAACAGAGTGGCAAGCTTCACTGGGAAGGGCACCGGTAGTGAGCATACTTTGGATCTTTTCTAATGGCCATGTCGGCGTAGTGGGTAATAAGCAGGCAGGCAGATTGGCTGGATCTTCACCATTGGGTGGTGAACTGATACATGACAAGGCAGATGTTGTCAAGGCTCTTTGGGAACAAGCAACGGAATCAGTAGAGAAACAAGATTATTATGGCCTGGCGAGAATGAGGCACCTGCGTGTAACCAGAGGGTCTGGCCGGCTCACTATACTTAGAGGAAAGGTAAGACGGACATATAACCAGAATGTGACCGGTACCATCAGTACCAAAACACTGCACTGGCTGCTGAAGATGAGGACAGAGCACACATGGGATTGCCCCAAGTGCTGTGATGTCAATTCTTGACTCAACTTATCTTTAAATGTCACCAAAGTGTTCTGAGGATGTTCATCTCTAATGATTGATGCAAGAACAAAAGTACGAGGGTTTCAAATTAAAACCTTTAAAGTGTGATAGAAATTACAATAATCATGTCACTGTTTTGTAACCTGTCAATATTGTTGTCAAGAATGTAAAGAGTGTTAAACAGGTGACATCACAGTGCAGATGAACATGGTGACGTCACAGTGATGGTTTAAATATGGCTGCCCCACTTTTGACATGCTCTAAAGAGTATCAGCATTCTCTGTTACCCATTTAAAGAAGGAACAAAACCTTAAAAAAATGTTTGGACAATGAAGGTCCAGTATGGTGGCGCATGCCTATCAGTCTAGCAAGTGTATAAGTAGAGTCATCATCATCATGAAGCTGGTCCTTTGCAGAACGTCGCTCTCATCACAGTCTGCCTGAAAGAAACTCGGTCTCTCACCAGTTCTCCCGCCTCATGTACTTTCATACTAAGGAGTCACTTATATCCTGTGCCCATCTTCGTGTCGGTCGGCCCCCTGCTCCTCCTTCCTGGTACCATGCCTTCTGCTATAGTTTTTTCTAATCCGTTGTGGCGCTTGATATGACCAAAATATTTCATCTTCTGAGAAAGGACGCTGTTTATTAGCCAATCTTCCTTGATGTTCAGATCTTTCAAGATGTCAATGTTTCTCCTCTTCATAAGTAGAGTAGGAAGTTTAAAAATGGTGCGGCTTCTGTGACAGATTGTTCATTACTGGGTCAGGCATACCAAATAGTGACCCCAGAAGAGTTGACTGCAGCCATTGAAAGCCTCATGTAGGAAAACAAGTGACTGACTGTGAGTCACATTGCTGCAATCTTGACATCAGTCAAGGTACAGAACACCACATCATCCCTGATATGCTACATTACCACAAAGAGTCTGCAAGATGGTTGCCACAGCAGTTCCTCTTTAGTGCCTGACAAAGGGGGAAGGCAGCCATCTTTAAACTGTCACTATGAGGTCATTGTGTTCATCTGCACTGTGATGTCACATGCTCAGCACAGCATCCTTAACAACATATTGAAGGTTATGAGACAATGGCACAGTTATTGTAATTTCTATCACACTTTTAATGTTGTTATTTGAAGCTCCCTTTTAATATAAAAAAAAAAACCCAAACAAAGCATCTGAGAAGAAAGGATTGATGTAAGGTCAATAAAAAAAACAGAATCTACTTTTTATCGATAGCCAACAGCATGGCAAAGGGAGGACATTGATAAAACAGAAAACAGACATTTGTGATGATGGAGAGACTGATGGAAGCACACTATTTCAAAATGACATCTAATTTCTGAGATAACAGACAGTCTGACCGAAACATGTATAAAATTAGAACTAGATTTGCCCCCTCCACTTGTGCCCCTTCCCAGTTCATTCATAATTGTAACATTCTAAGCATCCTAGTACTGGACCTATGACAAGCCTAGAAATATTCAGCTAGGATGCGAGGGTTAATTGGATGGAGAACTTCTGGCAGGTTGAAAAAACTATTGCTATAAATAAACTCAGAATATACTATCTTCCTTTCATTTTCACTGGCAATTAATGTCTCAACTAATTATCTTAAACTAAGATAATTCCAGGTTGAAAAAACTATTGCTATAAATAAACTCAGAATATACTATCTTCCTTTCATTTTCACCCTGGGGTGTTACATGCCAGTTTGACCAACATGAGATTGTAATATCTCTTTTTGGATGGGAAGCAAACATGACAAATCCTGAAACTCTTGTTCAACCGCCAAAGAAGTTATAATTGAGACACTTAAAACAGTTACACAAGTCCATGTAGCCTGCAGTCCTGTGTAGTATGGAGGATTGATTACAGGGTTTCTAGGACCTCTCCATGGGTGATCCAGATCCACATGGTGTCACTTTGTGTCACTGGATGTTTATCGCTCTGTGTTATGTCCTGGTGGGGTAAAACTTAATTACCATGGAGGATTATCTACCAATGAACAAGTCATATTTTATAACAGTGACTGATAGTTCTTGTGTGTGTTTGCTGATGAAGTAAAGACAGGTATTAAAAAATATACGGGAAGTATACACGGCCAGCAAAATAAGCAGATGGGGAACTCTTTAAAAAAAAATTAGCTGCCTATCTTTTACAGGACGTTGCAGAAACAACCCCAGCATTTGTTTGGGCTGATGTGGTTTTTCTGGGCAAATTTTACGTTCAGCAGTTTGCCACTGCTTCTGAATGGTCAGTTATCGGTACCAATGTGTAAACAAAACAAGACTAAACTGTCTGCGGCTGGGATCAAACCCGGCACCCCAGCATTATGAAGCAAGTTTGAAATCCCTAAGCCACAAATGCCAACCTTGGGGCTGTAGAAAAACATTATAGAAAGAAGTCTGGTAGTCTGGTAGTCTTAGTTTCAGCTTCATAGCAAATGGGTCGCCCCATCTGTGCTCCGCTCCTGTGCCAACGAAAAACACAGAAAGAAGTAAAAAGATGGAGACATTAGTTAAATTTTTTTGCCTAGTGTGCCCTTTATGTTTCTACTTCTTTCTATGAGTGCTAATCAATACATTGTCTGTTTCTTTATAATTATATATAAAGGCCAGCAAAATACTGAACACAACTCACTGAGTGCAGAACAGTTCAAATAAAGGCATGGAAATGATAATAAAAAGTTAAGCAAACAGTAAAAGATCTGTTTCACGCCAGAAGCGCACTGGGAATGAGGTAGCTGATAAGGTGTTTATAGTAAAAAAAAACATTTTAAATATAATGTGGTCAACGTTACGTTGGCTATCTTTACTTTCAGGATCACCTGGTATCCATTTTTAGCCTGGGTCCACAAGGCAACTAAAGTAAATCGGGAAAGGGGGGGGGGGGGGAATCCACTTTGATGCAGAAGACGGGCTGAAAACACTCATACAATTCATTAAAGAACAAAACAGATGGTTTGGCCTGACGAGAATGCCCTAGTACCAACTGCCACAGAGAGCCACGCTGAAGAAATATAATGAACACAGAGCAAGGGGAAGACCACACACAAGAGATGGAGCGACGTCATCAGGAGCAACCTAACAGAAGTGAACACCAACTTGTACAATGCATTAGAAAATTAAAAAAAAAGTAAAGATTCCTTTTCACGCCTTTCGGCGCATCGGGCATATGGGCAGAGCGTCCCATATTTTCACAGACCATCAGCACTTTGTGGGTAATGTGGTCAGCATTACGCCGGCTGTCTTTACTTTCCCAGGACAGCCCATCCTGGTACCCATTTTAGGCTGGGTCGACCTGCGACATCCCATACTACAACAAAAATCCACGCAGCCTGCAGTGGGTTTCGATCGCGGTATGCTGGCTTACGAGTCGGACTCGCAACGCCTTAGCCACGGACGCCGCTGCATTAGAAAATGCGCGCACAAATAATCCTTACATCCCCCTCCCCCCCCCCCAACACTTTGCTGAGGTAAATTGTGGAAGTGAAGAAGAAGAAGAAGAAGATGATGCAGATTTGAATGACAGACCTTCAGGCCAGCAGGAGAGCATTTAGCCTCTAAGTTACCTAATTTCCATATGCTAATTGACTTACTATATGTCTAGTATTATAGATCTAGATTTAAGCCCTATAGGCCCAGTATATCTGAAGGCGTGGAAAACGGTGCATAACTTTAATTTACTTACATCTAATATGATATGATAGAGTGGAAATGATTTTTAAACAAAAATGAACATTTAGTACATGTTTAAATGTGTTATAACTACAAATATTATTGTGCAAATTCATTTGAAAAAGGTTATTTATGTCTTTCCTTCTGTTTGTAAACAGAAATTTCATAACAACATCCAGCCTACCTTCTTTGTTCCTTCTCCGCTTGTCTTGGTACATCCAACATTGATTTTAACAACATCAGTATCCGGAGACTTTGTGTAGGTGACGTTCTTGAACATGCCTGAGCCAGGCCTCGATGTGAACGGTTCTGTTCTCTCCAGTGTTGGGGTGGATGGGGTTGAAGATGTGGAA